AAAGAAAGTGTGCAATTTTGGAAGCAGAATAAAATTATAAATATTTAAAAAATCATTAAAAAAAATCAAACGATGACGTCATCGTGACGTCACTTCGGACTTGGCATACTAGTACCATTATTTACCTACCCAAGTTTTTCAAAAATGTTGTGCAAATACCTATTACCTAACAAACCAAATACAAAAAGTATTTTTAACTTTGCATGTTGCGTTCGTGAGTTACGGCTAAACGGTCCAAAAATTCAAATATTCATATAAAATCTCAAGATGGCGTCATCATTACGTCACTTCATTTTTTTTTTTACCTATAACACATCCCGATCTGGCCACATACCAAGTTTCAACCCAATCGGACTTACAGTTCTGTAGATAAAGGACTTCAGAAATATGACAGGTAAATATTTGAAATCCGAAGCATTTACTTCTTTTATATTCATATGAAACGAAATAAACGCTTATAAGTTATAGTGTAGCAAAAGTTAAAAGGTAAAAAACTAATTATTTTCAGATTTTAGCAAATGGTTTTTAGTAAAAAGTGTTTGCTTAATTTTCATTCATACAGATGCGAGTAAATGCTTCAAAATTGGAAGTAAAAGCAAATGCCATGTTTTATTCATACGAACATGGTATCATTTGTACTTTATGAACTTTGTTAATATTAATTTTTCGCGATTAACATATAATAAATGCTGTAGTTTTTGCGCAGAATTATTTGCTTTATAATTTCAAGGTTGCCCCAACCCAGCCTTGTAAATGACAAGTGCATATTTGAAATCTGAAGCATTTACTCCTTTTTATTCATACGAAACGAAGTAAACGACAGATATTGTTTCTGGTAATGAAACCAAGGATTCCTCAAAAGTGCATGCCCCAGGCACTGTAGCTCGCAAACCCCGAAAAAAAAACCTGTACAGAGAAGACAATGAGAAGAAATTACAGTTTTAGAGGTGGGAGGAAAACCCCAGAAGAATATAGTCTGGGGAAAACCCACGGAATCAGGTAGGAACTGAAAACCCAATCCACATGTAGACCATGCATGGGTGCCGATGCACAGCGCATTGTGCGCGTAAACGGCATTGCGTTCGTCACGTTTGGCGCCTTTTTATTGGTATCTGTCCTCCTTCACATGACCCTCCCCAGTGCCGCTTTCCGTTTCGGTTACGACAATTTTATATTCTGCAAACTTATAAACGTGTAAAGCTTTACATTTTGCAGGCCATTTACTCAAGAGCAACTTGTTTTCAGTAAAAGCCTTTGATTAATTTTTATTCATACAGATGGGAGAAATGCAAATGCCAGTTTTAATTTTTTATATTTGAAATCTGAAGCATTTACTCCTTTTTATTCATAAGAAACGAAGTATATTGCCACAACCTTGATACAGTCTTGAAAGTGAAACTGGTTAATTGGACCATCTGAACAGAATGACGTTGAAGGCTTCCTCGGAACAACACTTGTAAAAACCTTGACTTCTTTTTTTTCTTCTAAAGGCGTGATAGCTTTCTTTGACAAGGCTTGGGCCAAGTTCGGGCAAGGACCATTAGTCGACTAGTGGTTGATTTGTGACGTACCTTACGCCTGCGCACTGATAGCAACGTGCGAACATCTCTGGTCAAACGCTGGTCAAATTGTCATCGCAAAACTTCTGGCTCCTGGCTCTCTGCTTGCGTTATGAATGCGCGCGGCTATTGGTTACCAGCCAAGCAACCAACCCCAGTAGGCTGGTTCCAAATAGTCGACCAGCGTAGTCAACCACCGTCGACTACACAGAGTTTGGCAAAACTGTGACCCAGCCGTGTGCAAGAATAACATGGCTGGCGACAAAGTGGATCTATACCAACAACGCCCAATCGGTGGAAAAACCTATTGTAAACAGAGACCATTGCTCGTCGTCTGCACCCCATTATAAGCTATTCGTTCATTCATTTGGTTTACTGCTTCGTAGGATACTTGTGTATCGGGAAACTTCAATACTCATGGACGCGCCATGTCAAAAAGTTCGGCTTCTATGCAATGTGATAAGATGACGGAAAATCTGTCACTTTTATATAGTGACAGATCTACGGGGAGATTTTTGGGGTCTAAATCCTGGTCTCTAACACTATCAGTCAGTTGTTGTTACATTATTGGTTAGGACTGATAATGTAACAAAAATTGACTGACAGTGTAGTAGCTCTGCGCTCGCATTCCTCGACGAACAAAATGCCAATTCACGCTGCCCTAGGCTGGCTATCACGCTGTGATGACGTTAAAGGGAATATACATCATTTGCAAACATCGAAAAATAAAACTACAAAGTTTTTACGAAATACCTTACTAGGATGTTGGTAAATGACAGTCTAAAGCATCCTGTAAAATTATGGCACCTGGTGTGAAGTCATTGTCAAGAAAATGATATTTTTGTATACATTTCCAACGGTGGTCGGCCGATCACCGTTGGAAAAACCTAACTATTTATCAACTACTGCTCCAACTTTACACTTTTTCAGTCCAAATTTTGTTTGCTATTGGCTACATGTTCATGAACAGGTACAGGCCAGCTAGACTGGTTCCTTTACCTTACAATTTTCCGACATCTATAAATTGATCCATTTTATCTTTAGTGGAGTCAAGGAACCAGACTACTTGAACATTTTTGTTTTTCTTGGTTTTTCCAGCATTTTCGAACGTAAAACTTCAAACATGTCAGTGTAACAATATTTGATCTATTATACTAACCCCTCAAATAGTTCATTTCTGAAAATTACAGCAAAAGCCAATGATGTACATTCCCTTTAAAGGGAATATACAACATTTGCAAACATCGAAAAATAAAACTACCAAGTTTTTACGAAATACCTTAATAGGATGTTGGTAAATGACAGTCTAAAACATCCTGTAAAATTATGGCACCTGGTGTGAAGTCATTTTCAAGAAAATAGTATTTTTGTAAAAATTTCCAGCGGTGGTCGGCCGACCACCGTTGGAAAAACCTAACTATTTTTTAACTACTGCTCCAAATTTACCATAAATTTAGTCCAAATTTTGTTTGCTATTGGTTACATGTTCATGAACGGGTGCAGGCCAGCTAGACTGGTACCCTTACCTTACAATTTTCCGGCATCTGTAAATTGATCCATTTTATATTTAGTGGAGTCAGGGAACCAGACTACTTGAACAGTTTTGTTTTTCTTGGTTTTTCCAGCATTTTCGAACACAAAACTTCAAACATGTCAGTGTAACAATATTTGATCTATTATACAAACCCCTCAAATAGTTCATTTCTGAAAAATACAGCAAAAGCCAATGATGTATATTCCCTTTAAGTTGACGTCAATGTTCGGCGCACAACTTCAGATGCTGGTCTAAGTGTGTACCAATTATAAAGGCAATAGGATTGATTTTACTGGCCAAATTGCCGGTAACCAAAAAAACGTGTACAAATGCTATGGGCGAAATGACTGAAAAAGAATTATACTTGAAGCATTAAAAGCAAGGAAATATACGCGATTGTGTATTTAAGAATTCCTGTATACATTGTGGTTATATTACTGTCTGGAATATTTGATTATTTAAAAAATGACTTTACTGACCTTTAATAGACTTCTCTGAATCCGAATAATACCTGCTTTTGTCATTTGAACAACTTTGCCCTGAATTTGTTTTGAAACCACGGACCCTCTGTGAAGCCGTACAGTATAGGGCCCTGACCTTGTGTAAACAACGCACACATTCATGGCGTAACAAGTCAAATGGACTGGACCATTTCACACAATGGGTGGATTCTAAATCTCGGGACATACCGTTATTTCGTTTTACCGTTTTGGATTTCCTGTTCAACCTACACGTTGCATATACATGCATATTCTAACCGGGTCATGGTCTAGAAGAGAGACGTTCCATGATTGGAAGCAAAAAAGCCCCTTAGTCCACTCTTCCAATCAAAATGATTCTTATATAAATTCTTACATGTAGTTTATTCAGAAGTGCGATTCGAATATGTAGGACAAAGAGAACGACTGTGCCGTTCAATTAAGTGAGACAACCCACCGGAAAATGATCGAAAATCGTGTTGACCTCCTTTGACTTTGTCGATTTTGAGGTTTACACCCGGTTTTTGGAGTGAAAAAAAAGCCCCTTTTCTCCGTGCATCATTTGTTAAAAATAACCAAACTACAGGTAATACTCTGAGCTTTGAAATGTGTAGCGAGTTGGTGAGAAACATTGACGTACTTTTTTGTTACTGACGAAAGTTTGCAATGAGGGCTCTGTATTCGTGTCATTTTCATGCGCTGAGCGTATAGGGTCACGGAGCTCCGTGAGCAGATGCGCGCAAGTTGTTCATATTATGGAAAGATTTACCAGGTGGAAAATGCAATTTTCTTACGCGGGTCACGTTTTTGCTGGATCAAAACTACCCCAACCCCTATCCCGCCGCCAGGTGCATTGACGTGTATAAAGGGGTATTGCGCAATCTCGTATTTTTTTACTAGTTAACCCCATATTTCTCTCAAACAAAGCTTGTAATCTGTCTACGACATAGCTGTTTGTTCAGAATGTGGCATGAACAAACAACTTACGAGTAGAATGTGTTCATCCGTGGGGAAAAGTGTCCTAAACTTCACAATCGCGATAAAATAACAAAAACAAAGGCTCATTTCGGCTGGATGCCGAAACAGCCAAAAAAACGAAACCTGTTACTAGTTCAAGCCCAAGGAATCCCGAATGCGGCAGAGTTCATCAGAAAGTGTCTCGCGGCTGTTTCCTGTGAAAAAACTTGTCCAAGGGGCGTGACGGGAACTCATGCGCGCCCGTGGATTATGTCGGGCATGCACATAATGTTTACTGTACTGTTGCTGTAATTGATCTCTTACTTAGTTAGGCCCCCTACTTTGTCTTATTATAGTCACTTTTGCGCTGTTTTTTTTTGTCTGAAGAATTGTTTGGAATTGACACCTTTGTTTTGTTTAGAGGGACTAATTAACGACTTTCTTTAAGAGAGGAAGACATGAGATCAGCCGTATTTTTCAGGTTGTACCTGTCAACTACTTTCTACCTCAGTTTAATCTTTCATAAATCACTCCGGCATTTCAGAGTATTTCAGCACAAACTGTTTGTGTCTGCTCAACGTAAACATCGTGCAGACACAGCACATATTGAACTACAACGGCTGTTTATTGTTGGCTAGTTTAATTTCTTCATCACATATGAAACTTACAGTGCAACATTTGACTAATTCCTCAAACAGCCGTCTGTTGTGCAAAAGTAAGAGGCTGTCGGTATTTTAACATTTACGGACAAATCTTTCAAAAACTAGTCATAAGCTACTGTTTTAGAAGATCTATCATATTTGTCTGTACTTTTCATATTTTTCTCCACTGAAAAAATCATATTAGACTTATCCCCTCAAAATGGTACCGATAAAATTTGCTGGCTCATGGACTAAACAGACGGCGTCTCGCAAAGGAAATTTAGAAACATCTTGACTTCCTCCCTGATGACATCTTTGACGGGATGTATGTGGTATCCGCTCCGGTGGCTTAAAGTCATATCCCAGACATCAATGATGGCGACGTCAGGAACGTCGGCAAACACAGCCCTCATCATCTGGTCCAGATCGTAGGCAAACAGATCGTTGTTTTCCACGCTGAAGGAGTTCATCGTGTTGGCAGACTTGAAGAAGATGGGGCTGGTGCCCGTCCCTCGCTTCTGCAGCCGCGCAAGGGCGTCCCTGATGTGCTCCAGTCGGGACCGGTAATAGGTGAGATTGGTGGGGGTGAAATGAGCCCACAGGGCGAAAGCTACCACCGTGTCCGCACCACCCTCCAAGCCATCAATCTCGCTGACCGTGAACTTGATGTCCGTGACGTTAACCCATCCGCTCCTTATCGGGTACTCGTGAAGGCGGAAAAACATGGTGATGTTATGCTGGGTGTCCCTTGCGCGCCTCGGACCGACTTTTGGATTGCTGGCGCCCATTGCCTCTTCCTTCATAGTTTTACCGAGGTTCGTGGCCAGATACTCAAACCATTGCCGTAGGGTGGAGTCGCCGTAGAAGTAAAGACTCCTATTGCTCAGACATTTCAGAGTGTCGGTTGGATGGAATTCCCTCGCACGGCAGAGTTTTGATCTCCAGGAATCTTTGAAGTAGAAACCAGCGGCGTGATTGGGTTGCTTAGGTGGAAGGCCAAAAGTACAAGTCGGTAGATCCATACACGTAGCATCACTCACTGAAACAAAATATAATACTAGAGGTCAACTTTTTTTCAGATTAAAATTGCACAGATTTTCTAAATACGTTGTTCACAGTTCTGTTGTTATAATTGTGCAGTTTAACAGCGCTTTCCATCGTATCAACAATCTCAACGTGCTTTACAATAACCCCGTTCATCAGGCCAAGGGACCAAGCGACAGCCGATATCAGCGCTCAATCGGTCCTCGACCCTCACATTAACTTCTGGGTAGAGAGAGGCAATTGTAGTTAAGTGTCTTGCCAAAGGGCACAAACACCATGTTCCTGGCAGGGTTCGAACCCACGCACCTCCGTACACGAGTCAAACACCTTATAACCACTGGACTCCCCGAATAAGTATGAGGTATTTGTAATCTCTTGTGAGGCGATATTGAGCATTAGAATTGAGATTTGAATGATATTACTCAAGCTTACCGTTAGAAATCACTGTGACTATCTTTAGTTTTCCTGTATTCTTTAAAGCTCCAGGACTATGGAAAGAACGGGACAAAACAAAAGAGATCATTATGAGAATTATGAATTAATAATGTTTATGACCTTGAAATAATTGAAATAGTCGATTTAAAAAAATGATGCTGCATTATATACCGTGACTCATAAGTGATATTTTGCCATAATCATATTCTCATTAAATCCCCAATGAAAGGTAATTTGAATCATTTTGACAATACGGTTTTTTTTGTACAACCAACATAATATCTTGCATTTAATGATCTTTTTTTTTGCTTCAACGTTAATTTCTAGTTCCTTGCTTCATTGACATTTAGACTGTTTCTTTTGATTCGTCTTTCATGTTCATGATGTTCTAGGTTTCCTCCATGTCTTTTGGTTGTTGTTGATTTATGATTAATGAATAAAAGACATGAACTAATAACTGGTAAAAGTCGAAACTGAGTGAGCCAAGTTTGGTTTTACAAGTGGCGTAACTATGAAGACATTTCTGGGGGCAACATCAATTCGCCAGTGCATTGTATGTTTTTTTTTTAATTTATATTTCAAATGGGAGTGGCAAACAGGGGAACACGGACCATCGCTGCCGGGGGCGTACCCCATTCCCCTCCCCCTAGTTATGCCACTGGGTATCACCCACGTATCACCCTGTGATGTTGGTATCGGGATGGGCCCTGTGTTTAGATTTGGCTCAAGTTGTATCTAAATTTCAGTTTAGTCGTTATGAGAGTGGGTCATAATGCTTGCTTACCGGCCCACCACACTTGATTCTCCTCGTCTTATTCTTGCATTGACATATTCCCGGCCTCTCTTCAAGTTACCCCGATGTTGAGTGAAATTGGAGCACGTAAGAGTCTTTGGCTTGAGACAGTACCACGTCGTGCCTGCCGTCCGATTTGAAAAGTCACAAACCTCAGATTTCGAGGACAGTGAAAGCCCCACGGCCCTTTTGTCGACGAATACATCTCTGTCGATGTGACACGGAGTTATTTCGACGGTAGTGTTGCCGTTCGTGAACATGGCATCGTAGGCGAATCGCATGGGTGCACGCTCTCTGATGTTCCGCAGGTAATCAGCATGTTCCGCGCTGAAGGAGAGCCGTACCAGCGGCTCGATTGCCCCGGTCCAGTGTAGCGTGAAGCGGGCGGTGAAGGTGCCGTTACCGTGGTCGATCAGCTCGTCTGCTGGGGCACTGGCGTGCAATGACGCCGTCCGAAGAAACGGCCACATGTGGTCGCCTCCTCTGGTCTTTCTCTTGTTCTTACCGTCCCTGCTTTCAATGTACAACTCCAGCTGATCGCATACAGTGTAACTTGCCTTTGGGTTTCGGATGTAGAAGAAGGAGTTGCTGGTACTAGTTGGGTTTGGCACCTGTGCTGCTGAAGTACTTGGTAGTACCATCGCATTAACGTTTGGTTTTGAAGTGCTTAGTAGTACTTCGGTTATAGGGTTCGAGGTCGCGTTTAGAACTTGTGTTGAATTTGATGACAACACACGTGTAGATGATACATTTCTGGTGAAGTTTGTGCTGGGTGCTGGTTGTGGCCGATACCACTGTGGGGGGAAATAGAAGTCAGCATCAGACCGGAATATTATGATATAATAAAAGCAAACTGTTTGATTTTTCAGGATTTAGTCATGGAGTTGATAAACGGAACTCATAGTAAGTTGAAAGCCATTTGTTTCTGAAAAACAAACGTTTTTGAACGATTTTTTTTTCACAGACCCTATCTCATGGTACCCCGTCTTGAAAATCTATAGGCGAGGCATTTAAGGCAAACACACATGGCGACGTTAATAATAGTGTGTGCGATGAACGAGGGTCTCGCAAACCTATATCAGATTGATAGTCTTACAAATGGAGGGAAAGCTCAAATACATCGAAAAATCAATCAACATTCTCGGTAGGTCACGTTTCATTGTAGTTTGAAGAAGGACCTGATATCTACAAAGCCCAAAACCAGTGCGGCCGAACTGAAGTTGTTGTGTTAGTTTAATAAGCGTATGTACAGCACCACCAGAAAAACGTCAAGAATTCATATTTTTCACTTTTTCATCCTCAACGGTTTTCTGAGCTCAAATTACGTTTAGTAGATATTTAAGTTTTGAGGCTAGCTGGATTTGCAAGATTGCGTATCCTGAGAAAGGTCTATTTAACAAATCCATATTGATAGTGAGTACCGATAACAAAGGAAATGAAAATATGAAACGAGGATATTTCTATAATAACGACAAACTTCGTAAGGTTTTAAGGCGGCAAAAGTGAGCAAAAAAAAAAAGAAAAAAAAAAGAATAAAAAAAATCGGGTTGATCATGGTTTCGTCGCCCGTCACTGTAGGTTTGGGCATATTGAGGAAGGAACCATGGTTCGGGCATGGACAATTCAGCCCTAATTTGTAAGGACAATTGTCCATTGTTTGAAGTCCCGCTTTTCGGTTCAAATTATAGGCAATTTTATCATGAAATTCTGATTTCGATTTTGGCAATTGTTGTTGAGTTTTAGGTTCTCATGAATTCTGAAATCTAAGCAAACATTTACAGACTGAGGACGTTTTGTATTGTATTCTTTCTTTTTTTACTGGGACAGAAAAAGATAGTCATGAACTCACCTGCACATTGCTGTTGCCAAAATACACCAGCGCATATACAACCAGTCCGTAAGTTATCAGTATCGCCCACAGCAGCCACGACCGTAGGCACGCTTTGCCGGTAGGCGAGGCCGTATTTCCAGCGTAACTTTTCGATCCATTGAGGTTGTTGTTGGAGGTCTTATTTGATGCCATTAGGCTATTTCTCAGTCGCGTATTCACACAAATCGGATCGAAATGCAAAACGCGGTTTCCAAAAAGTTCGTCGGAGAATTATGTCAGGTTTGAAACACTGCGCGTAACTTTGAACGATTCTGCTCTCCGTTTAGTTTGGTTCCCATACCAAAAGATTCTGACTATTCCTGATGAATCTTAGGTCAGGCTTCGCTCGTACACCCCGCCCTAGCCCTGCAAACAGGACGCTGGGATACTCTGATGAATTCACGCTCTGATTGGTTGGATTTTGCGTGACCAGTGACCTGCGCGTCATCAAGGTCATGGCTCTGACTGATTCATTTCTCTTTTATTCCAGTTTAGAGATGTTTTTTTCTCTTTGAAAAGCGTAATAATGTGGGAAATTCTGTAAAACTTATATGTGTCGTAAATTTACAATTCCCGTCACTCTCTCAGGCTCCGTTGAACGGTCGGATTGCATTATGCGACGCTCAAAATGAAACAGAAATCACATCCGGTATGGAATGTGCGCATTTCTATGGGAAGTTTTCGGATAGTATTTGCGCACATTGTCTAACTGCGGTCTTGAACAGCTCAACCTCGTCCCCAGTGCTTACTTTATTTCCAACCGCGTTTCCAATAGTAAACCCTGGATAGGAAACTTCCTTCCTGTATCCTGATTGGATACCGCAATTGGCTAGTAATGGATTTTCATCGTGTACATGTACTTGGTGCTATATTATTCACAACGTGCAGTACGTGTTTTCGCGATCATTCGTCCACGCCTTCTCGAAAATACTAATTTCCTTTCCAATTTGCTCATATTAATATGAAATATGATACTGCATGTTGTCTCGATAAGATCGTAACAGTTTGATTTAAAAAATCGTGTTTTCGTAACTCACGCCGTGCTCGCGCTGCTACGAATTGACTCTGTTTTTACCCCAGACACCGCATACAAAAACAAACGGTAACGCATATCCAGGCACCAGACTGTTCCTCATTTGCATACGTGTGCAAAAAATCTTGCACATGCAAATGATCCAATACCAGGGTGAGAGAGCAGGTAGTGGTGGGCGCGTACTGCTCGACACCCTGGGGACGAGGTTGTGAACAGCTAGCTGCAGCCAGATGCTTTATACATAGGTCATAAGCCATTTCCTTCACAATATTCTGTGAAGCTCATCAGAGTATCCCAGCGTCCTGTTTGCAGGGCGGGGGGTACGAGCGAAAGGTCAGGCAGCCTCCGTGGTTAAAAATAAACATGACGACATTGATGGCCCTTTTTCAAAGCTCGGCTTCATTTCCGAATGCGCTTTATCACTTTTAGCTTTTAATGTTCGATCTGATCAAATTAAGTAAATCACTTGCTTCGCAATATCATACAGTTATGATAATACAGTTTGATGTTTCTGCAAGATAACATTGACTTATGTTGATCTGGAATCTTCAAAATTAGGCACCCAAATACCACTGTTAGCAGGCGGAGCCGAATGAAGACCGAGTTTTGGAAAATCTCAGTAACGGTCGTCAAATTCAAATCAAAATTGTACATGCCGCAGCAAAAAGTTCGCCCATACGATCCGAGTATATTTGATGTACAAAATCGTCGTTGAATTTCAAGTTTTCTAAATGAAAGCAATGAATATTAATTATCAACTCATTTAAAAAAAAAATTAATAAGCAATTAGCAGTTAATTTAACCTATATTATATTCGGAAATACTCGGGCGCTATCCGATTGTCGACGAAACGAATTCGCCAAACTTCGGAAATTTTCGGAAAAAGGAGGAATTCCTCCCGTTTTAGTCACGTGACGTTAATTGTAATACAATGTATTACCGGAGGCTACCGGACGCAAATATTTTATTTACACAACTATCTGGGGTACCCATTTTTCAGGCGACTTGAATTACGGTTATAGGATTGTAGAGCGCCGCGTAGCGGCGCTCCACAATCCTGTAACCTCTTACCTACGTGCGCGCGTATACTCTCTCCACGTGTGTGAAAGTATATAATTTATGAATTGCAGGGATTTTTCGAGCACATGCCGTTGCCTAGTGGTTAGGCATGTTGGCTAATGATCGGACGTCTCGAGTTCAATTCCTTGCTCTGCCCACAAAGATTTTGCTCTTTTTTTCAACAATTTAAAGTTGAATCTTAAAAACGTTATTTTTCAGTCGGATACTACTTGTATAGCAGCAATTTCCATTTTCTTTTCCTGATCTGAGGCTCTGGAGGATTTTTAAAAAAGGGAAATAAAGTCCGAAATCCGTACCAAGTTGAAAAATAGTAGCCTCCACTCAAGCCTGGTTATAAAAACCAAGCCCCATAGGAAAGCGCACAAAGTACCCCAGATAGTTGTGTAAAAAAAAATATCGCCTACCGGACCTCAACCTCATCCCCAGGGTGTCGAGCAGTACGCGCCCACCACTACCTGCAAACTAGGTTGGAAATAAAGTAAGCACTGGGGACGAGGTTGACCGGACCTAAGGGTGCAGACCAGTAAATCGGTCCGAAATTGCCTGCGCCGGCCAAATCACGATTTGCATGCCCTCAAAATCTTCGGTATTTGGGCATGCTTTGGGCCATGAACTTGAGGGTTTGTAAAAAATATGGGTGGAAGCCGTGCACAGGACTGGGAGCTTGCAGTTCTGTGTAATTTTGATGTAATTTGGACCCTAAAAGCGCTCTATTTTGCAATGGAGTGTAGGCATCGCTTTTCAAAATGGCGATGGGCTTCAGGACTATTTTCAGGGGTGATCATCTTCAGATGGAAATTTCCCCTAAAAGTCATCAGTTGACCCCCCGAAAATTGAAAAGAAAATGAAAGATGATGAAATAAGCTTTTATTTGATATGCGTCTCGAACACCTTGGAGAGTTGTGAGTATTTTTCCCGAATTTTTGAAGTGGGAGCATTTACCATTGGGGTCTATGGAAGTTTATTTACTGGTCTGCTACCCTAAGATCCATCGGGAATAGTCAGAATCTTTTGGTCTGGGAACCAGACTACTCTCCGTTGTGGGATGGAATTTTATGTATATAAGTGCACGTACTTAAGCTCAACTGAGGGCGCTGTTGTAAAAACCGCAACCCTCCGAACCCACCATAAACATCAGCTGATAAAAGCGGTCCTACTAAAGCGCGTCAACAAGCGTCAACAAGCGTCAACAAGTTTTAGTAATCGTTAAGTGCGCGTCAACAAATTTTGTATAGGCCTTTGAACAATAAAAACAGCTTTATATGGTAGGAAAAGCAATAATGAACATCTTCTGCATATCAATTAAAGTTAACATTATTTTAAAACTTGGTTTTTTGAACGCGAAATGTACAACGAATTTGTCGATAAAAGTTGGCCGCCATCTTGTTTATGTGTAGCTAGCCGTACTACGCATGCGTGAAGTGTAAAGAGCCATACTACTGAGCTATAGGCGTGGGGTTCGGGGCCCGCTTAGGGGCCCCGAAAAATGTTGGATTCTAAATGCTCTGTGGTGCTATCTGAGGCAATTTCTGACCACTTTAACCAATATTTTCTTAGCAAAAGATACATTGTAGTACATAATAGGGCCCTGTAAATGAGACACGAGTTCAAAAATCTGGGGGGGGGGGGGGGGGACATTTGATATTGTGTCCCCCATCCTTCAAAAAGTGGGGGTGGGGGGGGGGGAACCAGTCCCCCGTCCCCCCCCCCCCCCCCCCCCCAGGATGACGCCCATGGCGTCATGTAGATCAATGATAATTTTTGTAGAAACTCAAAATCTCAGGGGGGGGGGCGACTGGGGGGGGGGCAACAAGGTTTCATGGGGGGGGGGGTCGCCCCCCCCCCCCCACCCCCCCCCCCCCCCCCCCCCCCCCCGGTGGCTACGCCACTGGAGACACGTTCTCGCTGAGCCGAATGCAGCTACGCGATGTCGCGCACTGATCTGAAGAATTATAGCAACCGGGGGTGCGTGTGCGTCGTGCCAATGCTTGCGCGCGCTTCGCCGAATAACAAAACGAACTACTAATTTAAATTTTCCTACTCTTAAGAAGCACCGTTGGAAAGGCCTTCTTTCGTTGATTACTTCAAAATGACAGCTTGCCAGAAAGAATTATTTCACAGGGAGTTTAGTACCCTTACTATCTTTCAACCAAGTATGTTTTTCAACAATAATTACGCCAGCTACTTTTCGGATAGCTGCAAATGATGGACTATAGCTTTAAGGATTACTTTCAGGGGTGATCATCTTCGAATTGAATTTTCTCCCGAAAGTATTTCGTTAACCCCGAAAAAAAATTAACAGAATCTGAAAGGTGATTATATAAGCTTTACTTTGATGCGTGTCTGAAACAGCTTGAAGAGTTGTAAGTATATTTTAAATAATTTTTGGAAGTGCGCGTAACTGTTATTGCTGATGTCTATGGAAGTGTACTGGTCTGGAACCCTAGGGCGCTTTTGAGGAATCCTTGGTTTCATCATGGAGGAATACAAGCACATTACCAAATAAATAAAACCAAATAAATAAAACAATAAATAAATATTCCAAAGTAGAATCCCAAGTTGGTCTTTATTGTGTCTGGCAAAATGTCGGCCTTTTATTCCAGTTCCTTTTGAGCCTAAAATGTAAAAAAAGTTGTTCAATTTGGCCTTATTATTAAGCCCGGTACGTGTGACTCTAGCTCTGTGAAAGGGTTTTTTGGCACCTTTTTTGGAAGTGCGCCCTCTATCTATACTTGTAGTACAAAATGGCGACTTACATGGCTGCATAACGTGCTCGAACGAAAGAACGGGTATTGTAAAAGTAAAAAGCATTGTAATTTGTATTTTAAAAACCTCTTGTAAACTTTCCCTGTAGTTCCTCAGATTTCAAAATTATAATCCAGGGTAGAGACTGTTGGGTTAAGGTTTTCATGTATTTTTAGTAGTTTTTATTTAGCAGTGTCGACTCGGCAGCGCAACGTTTGAAATACGTACTCCTAGAACTATGAGGCTCCACGTAGTGGAGCCTCATAGGTTCAGAACCCCGCAAAATTGTTGTCAGCACAAAACACTAATTAAGTACAAAAACGTCCCTCCTAACCAAGCCGTTTCCCACAGAACCGCTGCACAGTTTGCCCCTAAACTCCGTACAATACCTCATGACATACTCACGCTATGTGCACCCAACAAACATCGGTGGATTCTGTCGTTTTTTTTGCAAAAATGATGGAAAATATGCCCTTTCCGCACTGAGCCAACCTGACACTTGAAATTTGCACGCGCGCAGAATGATCGCAGTCATTTTCGGTCCGATCGCTCGGAGCGCGCCGCGGGGGGTATGGTGTAGGAGCGGAACGATAGTATGCGCATGCGTACAAGTGCGAGTACGTACCCCCCGCGGCGCGCTCCGAGCTATCGAACCCGAAAATGACTGCGATTCTGCGCGCGTGCAAATTTCAAGTGTCAGGTTGGCTCAGTGCGGAAAAGGCATATTTTTCATCATTTTGCCGAAAAACCGACAGAATCCACCGATGTTTGTTGGGTGCACATAGCGTGAGTATGTCATGAGGTATTGTACGGAGTTTAGGGGCAAACTGTGCAGCGGTTCTGTGGGAAACAGCTTGGTTGGGATGGACGTTTTTGTAATTAGTGTTTTGTGCCGACAACAATTTTGCGGGGTTCTGAACCTATGAGGCTCCACTACGTGGAGCCTCATAGTTCTAGGAGTATGAAATACGTTCATGACGATGTCACGCCCCAACTATCGCATCGGTCCCAACTATAGTTGGGCCTGTCCCAACTGTAGTTCCACAGTTGGGCTGGCCCAACTATAGTTGGGCCTGTCCCAACTATAGTTGGGACGGTCCCAACTGTAAGTTCCACTGTTGGGCTGGCCCATCTATAGTTGGGCCACTCCGATCTTTTTATTTTGCGGTGTCCCAACTATAGTTTACATTGATGTACAACTCTAAAACGTTCCCTACAGCTCTGATACACGTCTGACTTTACTGGGGACCACTGAAATTAGTTATTGATGGGGCGAATCTATAGTTGGGCCACCCCAATCTTTTTATTTTGCGGTCCCAACTATAGTGTAAATTGTTGTACGATTATAAAACATTCCCTACAACTCTAATACACATCTGACTTTACTTGGGACCAATGAAATTATCTATGGGTGGGGACCATCTGTAGTTGGGCGACCGCAATATTTTTATTTGGCGGTCCCAACTATAGTTTACATTGATGTACGACGACTATAAAACATTCCCTACAGCTCTGTTACATACTGTCCGACTTTACTTGGGACCTTTGACATTAGCTATGGGTGGGGCCCATCTATAGTTGGCCGGCCATGGCAATCTTTGAATTTTGCAAAATGTTGCTGGACAATCAACCCAGCAGCTGGACAACTCATCCAACTAGGCAGTACCACGTGACCGGCCAGCCTTGCGGCATGCATGCACGACGAATACACGGTGCCAGCGCCGCGGAACATTTAATCCAACAAGATCTATCAAGCATGAAGCATCCGGCGCAACTCCAGTCCTAACTATAGTTGGGCCGACCCAACTGCCGCACTGTAGTTGGGACAGTCCCAACTATAGTTGGGACCGATGCGATAGTTGGGGCGTGACAACGACATTGACGTTACTCACTACTCAGTGTACAGGCTGTAGTTTAACGGATGGCTGTAATGGCGGTAGGCTGTGTAGCGGATGCTGTAGCCATGGTGGTACTAGCCAGGGGGACGGAAGGGGGGGGGGGTGGGGCCTGAGAAGAGCGCGAATGATGCTCTGTCATGTCTGTGTGTCTCTTCCATTCGTAACAAAGGGATGTGCAAAATAGTGATAAATAATAGAAAATCCTAGCTCTACCGAGTGGAGCGTTGAACTACGGGGGGTGCTCTCAATTAACTCTCTAGTCCAAGTAACTTTGACCCTACTTATCACCTTTTTTTGACATTCAGACATGGTCTGGCGACAGCAGGAAAAAAAACAGAGTTGTCTTCGAAATTCCATAACCATAACTGGAAATGAACATGAGCAATCTGAATGATTCGTGTATTAAAAGAAAGCTTATTAATTGGACTTTCATATCCTAGATCTGGAAAGCACTACCACTGAATGTCGGACACTTCCCCCCATTTCCACGTCGCCCCATGTCACTTCGCCCCTAACCACTTCGCCCCATCCCCACTTCGCCCCATCCCCACTTCGCCCCATTCCCACTTCGCCCCATCCCCACTTCACCCCATCGCAACTTCGCCCCAGCCGTTACATGTAAAAAAAAAAAAATGTCATCTACAAATGTACATGTATTTTATTGGCTTAAAAACAATTGCAACAGATTCACTAATTGCTTACCAACGGAAAGAATTAGCCCACCAAATGAACAATTCATAACCAACCTCTCAAGCTATCACTCTCCCCTACCAAGAAAAAAAACTTGAAGTAAAAGATCCAGCTTTGTTCCCAACCCGGCTATAGCATAGAGCAAGGACTTGCTCTATGGCTATAGTACCAACCCGTCTCCCACTTATAGAGAACGACAATACCTTTGACATCCTAATTTCACTCTTGGAGGAACCAATCTACATGGGGCGAAGTGGGGATGGGGCGAAGTGGGGATGGGGCGAAGCGGGGATGGGGCGAAGTGGTGATGGGGCGAAGTGGGGATGGGGCGAAGTGGAGATGGGGCGAAATGGTTAGGGGCGAAGTGACATGGGGCGACGTGGAAATGGGGCGAAGCGTCCGACACCCCTACCACTACATGCAGAAATTCCTTCAAAAAATAGGGGGCACACTTTGGGTTTCCTTTTTTTCTCACCCAGAACATCTCAAATAGGTCAAGTTTGTATAAAATTTGTGGAAAATATAATTGTTTAAAGCAAACTATATATGATTATTATTGGATATTTTTTCCTCACATCAGGTCATCAAGGAGTCAGTGTTTGTCCTAAAAGCAGCGTTGTACCCTAAAAGTTCAATATGAGTGCCGCTAAGAAGGGAGTAGGCAGGTCCCAGGCTCCCACTGTAGAGCAGATCAATGCGGATATCCTGACACAACTGGCCAGTGAATACTGGGCACCACACAGCCATCTCCCAAGGAGGCCCTTCAATCACCAGGTAAGACTCTGGAACAATTGGGCTTCTTCAATAGCGGCTATGACCTTGCAAATTTATGCAGCACGTCAGACAAAGATTGAAGGTCAATACATAACTATTGATGAAAATAAAATTTACAAAAAGCCCAAGGCTGAGTTAAAAAAACCTCAAATTTTCTGTCTGGGCTTTTTGAAAAAATGGTTGGGGATAGATTCTTCCATTTTCTCGAATTGTGTCACCATTTCGACATCTATAGACTAATTCAGCGACGGCCAGTTTCTGAGGTGGCACCAGACACTTGCAAGTCGCACTCGGGTAGTACGCTAGCCTTTCACCAACGCCATCGTGGCTTAACTTGCCCGCACTCAAAGCGGCGAACGCGAAGCGACTGGAGATGGAGACCACACATGCGAGTGGCGAAGCCACGAGGGCCTTTTGCAACTTGTCGAGAAATTCTTATGTTTTTCTTTATAATCTCGATTTTTGCTACCCCAACAGGGTAGCAAAATTCCAACCAATCATCAGCCTTTTCGTGCGTGCGTGGCTACCACGCGGACGCGTTGACGCGTGGTCACGTCGGATGCTTGCACAAAATTTAAAAACAAAAAATGCGCGTGTAGTTTTTCACAAGATGGTGACTGCGTAATTGTTATTACATTATCTTATTTTAACTTTACTTATAAAGGTATTTCAACAAATTATTTGAGGGTATGAACTTATTTTTCATCTGAACTTACAGTTATTTGCTCTTACGGTTTCCTAATACTCACCCTTCTTTTAAAAATGGAAGCGACTAGTCAAAATCCGCGTTGTGATTGGTTAACCTTCAGCACGCTTCTTATTTGCATAAAAACTATGAATAATTCAACAAAATCAAGTAGCAAAAGGCCTTGTGGCTTTGCCACTCGTGCGTGCTGACTTAATCTTTGCTCCTGTCGCCTCGGGTCTTCGCAACTCCGCCGCTCTAAGCCACGAAGGCCTGGGCAAAAGGCTAGTAGTACGCAAGCACTCTGTGCTCTTTGGACCAATAGGGCTACCAAAATGCGCGCACACCTCTGCAGCAAGAATGCCTGTAACAAGTGCGTGAGTGTAGCACCGCCGTAAAAATGGCTTCTAATTTTGTTTGGCGAATTACACTATAGGATAAAATTGGTCGACCACATAAGGAAACCTGGCACTGCCTAGTGTAAATGAGAGTGTGAGATATAAACCATACTCACTCATGATATGACCATGTACTTACTTTATTTGCAGCATAGCATCAACCCCAGTCAGACCCATGGTTTGTGCTTAATAAAAAGCAATTGATTTCTCCCCCGGCCTGGTCGAAAATACCCCCGCTTACTCTTGCTTCAATTTTGTTGGAAACAAATAAAGAGACAAGCTTGACAACATTTGCAAAATATATATTGAAAGTATACGAATTTAAGAAAAAGGAAGGGGGCGGGGAAAAGGGAGTGGGTGGTGACAAAAAACTGTTTTATCATTTGCAAAAAGATATCTCGATGATGGGCTTTTGGAAAAATTTTGAGTAAATTTTTTCTCCCAATTTTAAGAAATCATTAATGTTGGCGTTTTGATCTTTTGAACATAGATGTCATCTTTGGGTTGTTCTGTTTATTAAAATAATTTCAAGGAAAGTAAACACAACAAGAAGGATGCTGCAGACTCCTAAAAGTATATGTCATGTAATAAAATCATTTCATTTCTTTATTTTTGACCTGTTTATGTTTTTTTGTTTTATTCTTTGAAGGTGATTGAAGACGTGTACCAGAAAGAGCTCATCCAAAACAGGTAAGCTCAGCTGATTCAATACAGCGTTTGGGCTCTATATTACATGTACTATGATCACTGCAATGTTAGCAAAACGCATTTCTGTTAAAAGTTTGAACTGACAAGAGTTATTTCAGCAGGGAGCTGATGATGAGTATTTCCAAAAAATGTAGCAACATTGAGCTGTATGATACACCGGGGAGCTGCTATAATCTGAGGAATGCATGGCCTAACTTTGCTTTTGCTAGCATGACGTACCTTGCAGGTAAAAAAAAACTTTATCGGCCACAAGACCTGAGGCATAATGAGCATCATGCTTTGTTAAAGCCAGAGTCCATCATTTGCAGCTATTCAAAAAGTAACTGGCATATTTATTGTTGAAAAACATACTCGGTTGAAAGATAGTAAGGGGACTAAACTCCCTGTGAAATAATTCTTTCTGGCAAGCTGTCATTTTGAAGAAATCAACGAAAGAAGGCCTTTCCAACGTTGGAAATTTCCGTTAGTAGTTCGTTTTTTTTATTCGGCGAAGCACGCAAGCGTTGACACGACGCACACGCGCGCTGTTGCTATAATTCGTCGGATCGGTACGCGACATTGCGTAGCTGCATTCGGCTCAGTGAGAACGTGTCTTGGATGCTGAATTGAGGCCCAATTCAAAACTTGATTCAGCAACTTTTGATTGAAATTGAGATCCTAGAATGGTGTTTTCTTGAAATATACAGCTGAAGCTGAAACTTCATCAGGTTAGTTGTTCAGCACCCTTCTTTAGATCTTGAGCACTTTTGTTGCTTCAAACGAACAAAATGCACAAATTACAAATGATGGACTATACCTTTAACATGTTGGTTTTCTCATGGGAGCTTGTTGGTCTGCCTAGCTCCCATGTCAACAAAGCATGACACTCTATTTTATGTTTCACGCCTACTGTGGCCTGATTGTTGACTGATGACTTTGCATTTCACCCGGCAGGTTTGCGATTCGCAGAGTGATGCTTCTGGAATTCAGCCAGTACTTGGAGAATTACCTGTGGCCGAACTACTCCCCAGATAAGGTAAGCAGCTTTCTTGACTAAACTCGGTACAGAACAACCAGACACGTCTTCTACATCATAAATCAGAGAAACAGTGTACAAGGGTTTCTAGTGTCAGAATATTGTCTGACGATAGTCCCTGAAGTTTGGTTTGAACTTCCATACAGAGTGAGCATGATATTTTCAAATGCCAACTTAACCCATCAGCACTTGTACTACATTGTATTACATAGTGTTTATTCACTGAAGAATGAATAAAATCACAGAGTGAGCGGGCGGTTTTGGGCGCAACAGTGAGTAATAGGCAGGGCGGTTTTGGGCGCTACAGTGACTAAAGGGATAAAGCCTTTGTTCATCAATGCTCAAACTCGTGAGCAGTTGAAACATACCCCAACTGAGCTTCTGTTCATCTCTGATGCTGCTTGTAACTCCCGTAGCCCAGTGCCATGCCAACTCTAGCGAAACGTGGCTTCTACTGTTTGGCTTATAAAGTTTGATACAGAATGAGTAAAGACATGCTCGTTGATGTGATGTTGATTGCCTGATGTTAGTGGTGGTTTGGTGTAACCAATTTGATCAATTTTCTTTTAATAGGCCAAGAAAAACCATGTCATCTCCATCGTGGTCATGATCAATGAGAAATTCAGAGAAGGTGTTCCACCATGGGAGGTAAGCTCATGAAGTTTGACAAATACTCCTTAAAAACCATCCCAGAAAAGGAGACTTATCCTTTCACAAGTAACCCTCAACAGTGATAGTGACAGGCAGTCAGACTCTTGGCGCATGGCATATGTAACAAATCTACTAGTGCACATTTAGATTGGTTGAGCGTACTTACATGTACGTACACTAAATACACGCGAACCAGTTCATGCATGCAATTTGCCACGCACATGTAGCTATCATGACTGGTCACAAAGCGCCATCTACTTTTCATGTATGGAGTCTGTACCAACAGGCAGACCCAGTAGTGGACAGTGTCTCATCCCTGACCCCAAAACCTTACCACCACCCCCCTCCCACCCCCTCCCCCGCCCTATTCAACATTGTGCCATTCATACTTCCCGGGCTACTTCCCGAACAAGAGAGGGCACTTTTTGACCACTATCAAGTGCCCAGTGGACTGTTTTTTTCCTGCAGCATACATCGTATATTAACCAATCACATCACGTACCCTAGCATGAATATTTATCACGCTGTGTGGATGGAAGACACTTAGATTCTCGCAGTGTTTTCCCTTCAATTAAACTTATCCCAACCAACAAAAATATTTGATGAAAATGGACAGGTGTCCGAACCACAGATCTTGCGATCCATAGTTCACTCCACTGTCCACTAGGCCACTGTGGCAGCTCGACAAACGCTGTTCTTTAAAATACTTTAATGTACTTGCATGACTGAGTTATAGCAATGGCGTGACATGATTGTTATTTTCCTATGAATAAACATCGAACTAGCTGAATAATCATGATCCATTGACGATGTGTGCTGCAAATAAAAACACCGCGGACCGGACACACCATGTGCACGTACTGGTTTACACACGTAGCGCAAAATTTGCACAACCTATGTTTCTTTTGAATGTGCGCAAAGCCATAGCATCTTTGCATGAGCGTCGGGCGTCATCGGCAATGTGTTCTTAAGCCTTTCCCTGTGATCTTCCCAACTCTCCCTTTCTTATCGTTGAGGGGGTACTTGTGCAATGAGCCAGTAGTATCCTGCGAGTCACAAGGATGCTCCGATTGAGTCTTTGTGACAAATTAAGCATACTGTAATATAAGATGGTAAGATATGGATTATGATTATTGGTGTATTTTGAAAAGATGGCTCTGAACATTTGCTCTTTTTAATTATGGGTAGCAGTCCAAGTAGCTGAACAAAATGACTCCATACCTTGTTGATCCCTTATATTTCATCTATTCTACACATCGTCTCAATGACCTTCAGTCTCTGGAGCTGAGTGAATATTTCTTTGCAGTTTTCTCCTTGGCACTGGTTTGTTGGTTCATGACAGGAGTCCATCAATAACCTGAAAGAAAACAACTATAAGGCCAACTTAGGGGCATAAAATAAACCTGCTAGTTTGTTTTCCTTCTTTAGGCTTGCAAGGCCAAGCCAGAGCATTTTGCCGGTTTCTTCCATCATGTCATGGAGCTTTGTCTTGAGGAGGATGCAGCTGTGGTCAGCACCAAGGAGCAGACAATCTTCATGGGCTTTCTGATCCATTGCTTCAATAGTCTGGTGAGTCTGTGGCTGTAGTCGGTACAAGTATAAAAGTTGTGGGAAAACTCGTTTGCAACTTAGCATGGTTTTGAGAAGAACCTGTGGCAATCTGTTTATTTATTTTTTTTCTTGTCCGAAAGTTTTTGTAAAGATTTTAAAAGTTTTTTTTAAAGAGTAGTGCTTGCATGGCGTGGTTTGCCATTGTCTGAACTCCATGGAAGAAATGTGGATTAAAAAAAAAGAAGATATTTCACATGAAAACTGTACCATCGTCAGCACTTGACTTGGCAACTAGTTTCTGTCTGATAAAATGGCCAAGTCTTACCCAATCCAGGGGCGCTTAAAAATATCCGTGCCCTACATAAACCCAGTAGGACTATGCTCTTGTAAAATGCATGCACGTTTCCAGCAATTATTGCTTATAATTAGTCATTGGCATTGCTTTCTCTTATTTGATTGATTTTGTAGGAAGTTGATCTAATAAGGGAACAGGTCCAGCGCCTTGTGTCCCTGCCCATGTGGGTTTGCCTGCTGCCGGTAAGTACAGTGTTTTTCCTTTACCTCACGTTCTTCTGCAGGGTGTTTAATCTAAGACTCTGCCCAATGCAACAACATACAACACCAGTCAAGATGAGAGGCCTGCACAGTGTAACAAGATACCACCTGCCAAAAGCCTTCAAGTCGAACTACTCCAGATTCCGTGGTTGCCAACTGCGACAGGACCATAGAGCTGTATTAAATTACTAGAGCGCTAACTCCTCATTCTTGCGCGCGGAGACGCTTTGAAGCCGTCCTGGGCGCAGTCATTTTGAATTCATATTCGTGTTTGTAGAACATAATGAAATTAGATGGATTGAATTTTGAAAGTGTACTCTAAATGCAACTCTAAAACGCAAGTAGAACGTACGCAAATTTCTTACGTGTGTTGCGGTTAAAAAAAAACACGGCTAATCAAGGCTGCAGCGGATACGCACACATGTTGCGCTGTTTGCGTAGAGCAAAATGACACGCTCATTTGCTGATCGTGCGTTTCGGTTGTGGGCGTATCGGCCTCGATGACGCACCGGTATGGAATACAAACGCAGATAAGCAAATTGACATACAAAATACGTACAAAATTTCTAGTTCTCCATAGGTTTGTGTACAAACATGGATGCGCCCAGCAGGCAGCTCTTTGTACATCGAGTTAGCGCTCTAGTAATTTAATATGGCTTTATGGACAGGACACAACTCTGGCATTGTTCAATTGGACTGACTCTCAGTGTCTCAGAATCGGCAGTTTATGCACTGATGTTGTAGCCCATAGCAGCAAGGTCCCACAGACTTCCTCAAAGCCATGATAACCTCTCCAAACATGATCTTCCTTTTATTCTTGCAGGGACGTCTTGAGAAAGAGCTGCAGGCATATCCAAAGTACAAAAAATTCTGGAATATTATCAAGAAATCTGATGCCAAAGCTGACGAGAAAACCAAAGCCAAGTAAGTGGATAGTCTTAGTTTTTGGGGAATCACTGAATTTAAAAGTAAACTTCTATTCAGTAAAAATGGGTTTAGAAAAAGGGAAGCAACAAATTATGAAAAAAATATCAATTTTTAATCACAGTTATTGTTTTGTCATGCCAACTTTGTTTGTATAAAGTGATAGAATTAATGTGTGATGTTTTATTGTGATTTTCAGGAATGACATTGAGAGGAAGTTTCTGGCAGGACTGATTCAGCGTTTCTACAAAATTCTGGATTCTATCCCAGAAGATGGTAAGTTGTTAGGACCTGAACTTAATCATTCACAAATTCCCTAAGTCAGTGTTTACAGATTCCATCATGCAAAATGGGTGCTTAGAAATGCACAGTACCATGAAATGGGGCTTTGATATTTTTTTGTTTTGATATTTGCTTGCTCTCAGGGAGAATCTTAAAAAAAAAGATTTGGAGTTTTAAGATGTTGGTAAATTATGGTGGCGTTGGTAGTACTGTAGTTCAGCTTAGATAGGCATCAGCCATTTTTTGGGCGAATTTTTTGTCATTGGAATTTAATTACAAAAAGTGGTGTTTGTGCCCTTGGGCAAGACACTTAACTACAATTGCCTCTCTCCACCCAGGAGTATAAATGGGTACCTGTGAGGGTCGAGGACCGATTGAGCGCTGATATCGGCCGCTGATATCGGCTGCCGCGTGGTCCCATGGCCTGCTGAACGGGGTAATAATTGTAGTGGGCTTTGAGATCGTTGATACGATGGAAAGCGCTATATTACTACTATTACTGTAATAGGGCGACAGGTTTTGCGAACTCCGTCCACAATAGGGCGATACACCTTATTGAGGCGACAAAATAACTGTCGCCCTTTTATGAAAACGACCCTTAGGACAAGGAATTTTGCTGTCGCTAACCATCTAGATCGATTCCTCATGGTCCAATTAGTATAAATACTAAATTTCGTGGAAAAAACATAAGGTAAACTTGGGTTAGGTGACAGTTTAGGTTTGTGCACAAGTCTATGGGAAAGTCACCCTATTGGGGCGAAAAGAGTAAATTATTATAAGCACAATTATTATTATTATTAAATGCCCACTGCAGATGGCTGTTATGCTGTGCAGCTGTCTGTGAGGACATGCAATCAGTGTATGGATCTGTGCACTGATACCTACATGTATCTGATTCATTCCGTTTCAGGCAAAGCTCAAGCCAGTTCAGTCCACTACTGTGAGAGATTTGTCGAGCTCCTCACAGATTTAGAGGTAAAAGGTTAACATGTTACATTCTAAACCCTAATATACTCTCAAGCACCTAGCAAGCATCAAATCTACTATAGATGTGACACAAGTCAAAAGCCACGCACACTTTTTCAAACTTTTTGTTGGAACCCAAATTAAAATTTAAGTGTTATTTTACAAATAATTATTACATTTATTCAATGTACAAAGTTCCAGGAGTGTCTTATTACTTAAAAACCTCTTAGAGAGGTTACATTGTACATTTTCAATGATCAGCAAATAATCTTATTGTTCATGTAGCTACTTGTATATGCATTGTCCCAGTATATGGGGGCAGCCTTTAAGTATAAAGTGTTGACTAAACGTTTAAATGTTCAGACATGGATTCCCATCCGTACAATTTACAATGCTTATTATGTCAGTGCAGGGAAAACCCCCATATTGATCTTTAATGGTATATAAACATGGCCTACATTGAGAGTTTGTTTTTTGGGGACCATCACTTTCCCATTAGGCACAGCTACCTACCAGACGGTTCCTCAATGTGGTCTTGGATGACAGTCACGTGGTGGTACGGTGTCGCCTCTCCAAACTGGCCCAACGCAAAGAGGGTAAACTCTTTAACCAGGTAGGCACAAAATTTGTTTCATATTGATTCAGGATCGCTGGTCACTGGAGGTCTTCTCTTATATCCGGTCAACACAATTGGCCAGGTATTTGTGACGTGGTAAGTCAAAATCAGGCACTTATGGGCAATGAGTCAGTTTTGAGTTAGTGAAACATAGACCTTGCTCTTTCAATCACCGTTTTTATCCCCTTCGCTTTTAAGCAACTATTTAGTACTGTCAATCTCAACCAAACTCGGTGACAATAATCTTTGGGTAGGGGGACTTCAAATGAGGTCGTTGATGTTTTTGGTTTATAGGTAAACTGAAAAGTGCTGTCATATGAAAAGCCAGACTTCACTCTCAACCAATCTTGGTGACAATAGTCTTTGGGTAGGGAGACTTGAGATGACTTGAGACATTTGGGGTCAAAAGTCATCTAGGGGTCAAACAAGGTCATTGTTGACTTTGGTCAGGTCAACTAAAAGTGTACTTACTGTATATATACTGCCAGCATGCCAGAGCGATCGCGCAAGTTATTGCAGTATTTTTGTTTTTGAAATTGGATATTGCAAAGCGAAGTTATTGCATTTTAAAATTGGACTGTCCAAAAGTCATGCTAATTTTGCATCATTTCAGAACAAAATCTTGAACAAAGGGTCATTTTGTGAAATGACATACCTCAAAGTGTTTTATAAAACACTTTGCCTATGAAATTTCAGTTTGAAATTCTTACAGAACATTTTAAACACTAGAAGCATCAAAAATTGTAAAACAACATCTCAAAATCGCTGAAAATTTCCCTCATCTTTTGCAGCTGTTTCTCCATTCGTAGCTCAGCCCCATGCTGCCTGGTTTTGACGTACCACGTCACATTTGTGCAAAAGCTCTCTGCCAAATTAATTTTTTTTTGCTAACGTAGTAAAATTCCCTTAAAGGTGAAATATTTTTTTCCCCATCATAGCCATGCATTTTGTTTGGGTGCAGAGCCTTGTTAACAAGCCACGCATTGTGGCATAATGTGAACTTTTTAGTTGACACTTTATAGAATAGCTCACTTGATCTTTGAAGTTAGTGTGGATTATTAGTGAGTGATGAGTAACGTAATGAGGCACGAGTATTTTAAACCCGTGACTCAAAAGGTTAAAAATGAAAATATTAATATTCATCCTGCCTGTCAAATATACCTCTCTCATCTTTAGAGGTTCTTCACAACGTTGTACCATGGAGGAAAATGATTCATTAGTGATTGCAATTGCGTCTGTTTTTTTTCTGTAAAGCTTCTCGACATGCTTGCATTCTACACTGGTTTTGAGATCTCTGATTCCACTGGCACTGCCCTGACTGATCACCAGATGACAGACCTACACTATGATAACATGAGCTCCCTTCAGGTAACAAACATACCAATAGCTACACTATCTTGGGGTCCTACTCAACTGCATCAACAAGCGTCAACGGTCGTCAACAAGCATCAACACATTTTTTATATATGCTTTTGAACATTAAAAGTAGCTTTATATGGTAGAAAAAGCAATAAAGAACATCTTCTGCATATCAATTAAAGTTAAAATTATTTAAAAACTTGTTTTTTTTAACACGAAATGTACGACGAATTTGTCGCTTAGTGTTGGCCGCCATGTTGTTTGGATGGCGCTGTACACTTCGCGCATGCGTAGTATGGCTCTGTACACTTCATGCATGCGTAGTACGGCTAGCTTCACGTAAACAAAATGGCGGCCAACACAAATTTGACACAGTTGTCGTACGTTTCGCGTTGAAAAAAACAACTTTTGAAATAGTTTTTACTTTAATTTATATGCTGAAGGTGTTCTTTGTTGCCATTTCTACCATATAAAGCTGTTTTTGATTTCCAAAACTTCTACAAAATTTGTTGACGCTGGGTTGACGACCGTTGAAGTTTGTTGACGCCAGTTGACGCTTGTTGACAGTTGTTGACGCTTGTTGACAGTTGTTGACGCATTTTAGTAAGACCGCTATCTTGTGCTATTACGACATCTTTATCATCATTGGCAAAAATGTGACTTGGTCCCACAAAATGAGTCTCAAGGACGTAGTTTGAAGTACTTTGTTTTCCATATGCATTTTAAAGACCACAGGAAACTCTTCAGTTTGGGATAATTCTCGGTTTCACATCTTGGTGAATGTGGACATTATGTGGTTGAAAACAATATGTTGTACTGACTTCCATTTGTATAAGGGCATATGTGATGCGATCAAGCTAAATGAGTCGTTTGTCGACCCTGGTCAATTTTTTTTTTTTACAGATTTGAAAAGAGCACAATCTCAGCATTACTGCTGTGAAAACCGCATGCTGGTACCATCTTTAGTTTAAAAATTATGGGAAACGGAATGCCAAGAGATGTGATGAAGTGATGTGATGAAGTGGCCCTATTTTGGCCTGAATCTCCAAATGAAAATTCCCGACAAATGACTCATGTAGCTTGATCGCATCACATATAACTAAAATTAGCTGTGCAGACTACAGCATCATTTGGCTGTGTTGGGTCACAAGTTATACATGTCTCAAGAAGCTTTTAGCCGTCACACAATTTGTTTTAGAATAATACAAATAATAACCATTCGTTAAACCTTTTTCAAGAATATTAAATTGCACCTCCTGATTTGAATAAGGGAATAAATGTGTGCTTGGGAGGTATTAAACAATATGTTTCAGACTGGTTGGAGTCTGGAATGCTGATATTCACCTCGGTTAGTTATCAGCATTCCGGACTCCAACCAGCCTTAAACAAAGTGTTTAATACCAAGCAAGCACATATTTATTCCCATTCATAAATACCTTTTTGGTAAAAAAATCTAAACTTTTCGGCCCAAAACAAGTCAAAAATTAAAAATGTTCTACGATTTTGTTCAACAATTTTACTTTCTGTTTTTTGAAACACCCCTCTAGCTATATAATGCTTAGCTAACACATGCTTTGTCTTTTATTGTGCTGAAATATTTGCGGGTTTTGTGTTTCTACTGAACCAAGACTTGACTTTTGATGTCATTCCTTTTCTGTCAACAGAGGGCAGCATTCAAGTTGTTTGAGGACCTTCGGAGATTTGCCTTGTCCAACGTAGCCAGTGTGGACACCAGGAAGGCACTATCTAATCATTTTGAGAAGCTCAAGTAAGTGTCTGAGGTACTTGGTGGTTTTGGGACCTATGGGCTCCGTGTGCCAACGAAAGAGGGCGCCCTTTTACTAAGCAACGACATCCCATGGGCGGGACATTTAGCTGGTTGATGTGCACCATTCCTTGTGTGTGACCATTGATCTCCATTAGTCTAATGGAGATCAATGTGTGTGACGCACGTACAACAGGGGATTTGTACCATGTGCACGCAGTGAAGTGGTACGGCCGCGCGTCGTGACAAAATTGCAGTCAGGCAAGATGGCGTCGGTCGGTCATCCCCAACTACTTTCTTTGCCAGTGAGGGAGTACTTGTGAACGGATTAGATTAGAGTGAGGAATAAGGAGATGGGAAATTCTCCGCTGTTGCAGCCTGAAAAAAAAATCAGTCTATTCCTACATTTGATGAACAAATGCCAGCATCACTTGTGGGACGCCTCAATTTTTTTTGTTACATTGTGGCAGTTTTATTGCATAGAATGCGTTGGCCTCATGTTCTGGAGTCCAAATTTCATGTGACACTGGAAATGTGACAACCAGTTAAAACTGGCCATGTGACGGGCTCTCAACCAATAGGAATGGGTAAACTGTTTTGGGTATTTATGAATGACACTTGAATTACATATTACAATTGTTCACAGGTAACATGGACAGGAAAAAGGTCACACTTTAAACCCTAACTTTATAGAATGACTCATGTGGCAGTTGTTGGCAAAGCCCATGTTGGCCTTGACGGGGATGGTCTTAATTAAAGGCACGTAGGGACATTTGCAATCACCCGGAAATGTACCGAAAATCCTTGATAGATAGGTACCAAATACCCTGTGAAATTATTCCGCCTGAAATCATCATCAAGTCGACTCTCGTCGGACTGCAACAAAGGCATGCCACACATCACGGTCTCCCATGGCCGTCCTGATCTCAGCTGCGGAGGCTAGCCCAGTATCACGACGCAGCTGGTCCACGTATGTTAGCGTCTGCCCACCTCGGGAGGCTAATCCATGAGTGGGTTCCCATAAGATGAGTAGGCTTGCAGCTATCTCTGGATGCCGAACGCAGTGACCAGCCAATCGCAGACGCCTAAGTCTGATAGTTGTAGAGATCCTTGGCAGATTGCCATAGAGCACCTCATTCCTGACTTTGTCTCTCCAACTCACGTCTAGAGCCATCCTCAGCATGCTGAAATGGAGTCATTCGGAGGAGAACAATCATTGAAGGTGGTTTAAGAAAATGTGTCAACGGGCACAGTTTTTTTTTATGTGCATTAGCAACGGAATTCAGGTATAATTCCAAAATTTTTTACATATACTTTCTGTGTTTTCTCAAAATGTATGGTATCCACTGAGCGGAAACTTCAGTAAGTTGTCTTGCAACCGTCCTAAGATTTTGAGCAATTTTGTTGCTTCAAACGAAATACAGAAAAAGAAAATGTTCCCATGTATCAAGTTGGTCCAGATTAGTTGATTTCCTCTCCGCTCTCATTCCAGTGCTAATCAGTTGCATCAGTTTGCTGCTCATTTGCACCTCCTTCCCCCACTCCCTGAGGACACCAATACCGTGCATGACAAGGAGTTCCTTCTGGAGCTGATGGTAAGCTATAGACATAAAGCTGAATATCATAGTACGCAAGTGCGTGTGACAGTGTACAAATATTGACTGCTTCGAGTGATGTAGTAAAACTAGCCTCCCGAGGTGATCCATGGACATTCTATTTCCCGAGGCGAAGCCGAGGGAAAATAGAATGCTCCATGGATCACCGAGGAGGCTAGTTTTACTTCACCACGAGATAAAGCATTCAATATTTGTTTTATAACTCTTCACCCACAGATTCTGCTTGATTATAATATTTTAAATTATTTAAATCTGAACACAGTTGAAATAAACTGCAATTTCAATACAAAATTGGTGGAAAATGTATTTCTCTCTTCCAAACTACCCCTTCGCGAAATGTTTGAACCCAACTCTGTGGCGCGCTCTCTTTGGAACAAAACGCGCTGCGTGCAACGCGCATACCAGCATGCATTTGCACACAAATGCCGCGCCGTGGAAATAGTACTTTGGTTGCTAATGGTATAGTACTTTGGTTGTTATGGGTATAGTACTTTTGGCCGTGCACAGAAAGATAGCAAAAATAGAAAGTATCATGTGACTCGCTCTCGGCCAATCAAGACACAGAATCTGAGGGTGAGGTGTTATAATGTACAAATATTGACTGCTTCGAGTGGTGTGCTAAAACTAGCCTCTCTCTGTGATTCATGGAGCGTTCTGGTTTCCCGAGGCATAGCCGAGGAAAATGGAACGCTCCATGGATCACTGAGGGAGGCTAGTTTTACTACACCGTGAGAAAAAGCAGTCAATATTTGTTTGGATTGTTTTTTCTTCTTCAGGTGTCAAGACATGAGCGTCGCCAATCTCAAATACAAGTCTTGAATGAGACTCCACTGTACCCAACAGAGGATGTCCTATGGGATGAGAATGTGGTCCCCACGGAGTATTTCTCGGGAGAAGGTACGTTGTCGACCCCTGCTCCTACCGATGTCTTGCTCTCCTAGAATTTTTGTTTTTGATATCTTAGTAATTAGTTGTTTGGTTTCATTCATAAAAATTGTATTGAAAAAGAGGAGAAATAAATAACACAGTTTTTTCCTAAGTGCCAACCTTACTTATTTCTGGTAATGAAACTTTGGATTCCTAAAAACACCAATAAAATTGAGCCTTGTAAACCAAAATAAAAATTTGGATAAGGAAACTCTAAGAAATGACTGGTGTCAACTGGGGCCAATTTCATAGAGCTGCTTAAGCACAAAATTTGCTTAAGCACAAAAAAAGCTTGCTTAATATAATCAGGATACCGGCCAAAACTCCATGCGATGTACATTGCTTGTGACTGGTATTTAGCTGTTGTTTACTTGGCATAATAATCGAGTGGAGTTTGGTCGGTTAACTGATTTTTACTAAGCAATGTGTTTTCGTGCTTAAGCAAATTTTGTGCTTAAGCAGCTCTATGAAATTGGGCACTGGTTTTGATTTCAACGATCTCATGTCACCAATTAGTTGCTTTATGAAAGGAAGTGTAATGTCTGTGACAGAACCAATTAACCATGATATCTAATTAATGATTCAGAGAAATGATCCCAAACTCCTAGTCTGTAATCTCCTTGACCATCACTAGATGATAGATGTACAAGATTTGAAAAAATACATTTTCGTGTTTATTCACTGAGCTCGTAAAAGCTCCGTCACGGAAATTACACGGAATTAGCCGTTTGCTTTCTGAATATCAAGGTACTGGCCTGTTTCCAAGCATTGTGGGGAAACTGATTTGATGAACGTATGAGATGTACTGGCTCATAAATATGCATGAGCTGTAATAAAATATGCATGTGTTTTAAAGGGAATATACATCATTTGCTTTTGCTGTAATTTTCAGAAATGGATGGAATTGGGGGGTTGGAAATATATAGCAAATATAGTTACATTGACTTTTTTGAGGTTTTGGGTTCGAAAATGCTATAAAAACCAAGAAAAACAATCATTTTCCTGTAGTCTGGTTCCTTGACTCCATATAAGAAGAAACAGAGCAGTTTACATACATTGGGGGATTGTAAGGTCAGGGAACCAGTCTAGCTGGCTTGTACCCGTTCATAGGTGTGTAATCGATTGCAAACAGTGCGATGGTCAATTGGGGCCAGTATTTGAAAAAAAAAGCCAGTATTTTCCAACGCTGGTCGGCCGACCAGCGTTGGAAATTGATACAAAAATACAACTTTTCTTGAAAATGACAGTATACCAGGTACCATGATTCTACAGGATGCTTTACACTGTCATTCACTAACAGTCCAGCAAGGTATTTCAAAATGATTTGGTAGTTTTATTTTTTGATGTTTGCAAATGTTGTATTTTCCCTTTAACTAACCTTACCTTTGTTTGTCTGCTCTTCAGGCTGTCTTGCCCTACCCAAGCTGAACCTACAGATGCTGACCCTGCATGACTACCTGCTTCGGAACTTTAATCTCTTCAGATTGGAATCCATGTGTGAGTCATTATTATTATTATATGACTAAATGTACCATTATTAAAGGAGACACGTTATCGTAATTTCTTCGAACGGTGGGAGACATTGGTCATATGTCTCCCTAATGTCACAGCCCCCTTTCAGAGGCAAAATGTTTCCGTCGCAATTAGGTTATATTTGTTGCTCGTGGTCTAATTAGTAAACATACCGAAATTCGTGGAAAAGGGACAAGGGAATATTGGGTAAGGGCACATTGAAGTTTGGAAAATTTTGTGCACAAGTCTATGGGGATGTCTCCCAAATGTCCAATCCAGGATAATGTTATATTATTATTATTATTGTAATAACATTTCTGATAATGTCAGGGGTTGTGGAAAAGACAGAACAGTCTATCTTGGATCGCTTCCCGGGTAAAATAAATAAAGTTTATAATAGTTAAATAATAACCTGTAAATAAGAATGAACGCTATTTAAAGTAACTAAAATTAAAATTTGAGAAATAAAAAAAATGAAGTAGGAATAAATTAAGGAATATTGCGACACATGCGAGTATAAAAACAATTAAAGAAATGAAATGAAAATAAAATGGTAAAATTAACATGATAAAACCCACTGACCTACAAAAACAAGGGAGTTAAATAGAAGTATGATCAAACAAATTACACGCAAGAACGAAGTACATGTATTATAACATTGGTGGTTTTTTTTACATGTGATAGCAGAAAGTTACCATTTTTAAACACTAAGTTTATATAACTGATTGTAATGATTTGGTACAAATGTAATGAATATACATATATGTTAGATGTCATTGTGCACACATGTTTGAAAGAGTAATATTCAGCATCCTAAGGATAATAAAGGAAAAGAGTGATTTTTGAAGTGTGGAAAGTTCAAAAATTCATGAGCATTTTCCTAGTAAAATTGAACATTTTGGGCTTCTATTCAGCAGCCAAGCAGAGTATGTAGCATCTTTTATAATTGCTCGGGATCATAAGTGAAGTCTGAAGGTGACGCAATTTATTGCTGTCTTTTGTTGAAATTCTTATGAACAAGAAACTAATGTTCTCTTATTTTTTTTACTGTTTTTTTTAGATGAAATTCGGCAGGATCTTGAAGATGTAATTTTGCGTATGAAGCCTTGGATTGCTGAGAATATGGAGACATACTTTGGTGGCTGGGCTCGTATGGCACAGGTGATACACAGGCTTCTTGTTTTTTTTCCCAGTTGTTTCCGTCCAGAACATGTCATTTTCGTGGCTTCTTTGCACCCTACCCATTTTGTGCCCTATTACAGTGGAATGCCGCTATACCGAACACCGCTATACCCATTATCGTCCTTGGGACCCAATTTTTTTTGTACAAAATGTACCAAACATTGTTGTTGAAAAAATGTCAACAGAAGAGCGACAAGTGGCTAGTATTTCCCCAAGGAATAGAAGGGGAAAGCCACCCATTGCTGTAGGTAGCATGCTCAAAAACTGTAATTACTGTACATGATTCAATAGTCGGCACGTGTTTAAAATCGTCTTTCAGTAACTACCATGGCGTGCAGGGTGAGGTTCCAAAGGGGCTAATATTGAAAAGTGAGTACCAGAGCACCGGCAGCTTAAAATCGCTATACCGAACGATCACTATTACGAACAATTTCTGTGGATCCCAGGATGTTCGTTATGGCGGCATTCCACTGTAATTAGATTTAGTCGGCACTTGCTCAAAGTCGTATTTCAACAGGGCGTGCAGGGTGAAGTTCTGGAGGGGGATATTTATTGAAAAGTGAGTACCGGAGCATCAGCAGCTTAAAATCGCTATATCGAACGATCGCTGTTACGAACAGGTTCTGTGGATCCTGCGATATTTGTTATAGCGTTGTTTCACTGTATTGCAAAATGCTGATTATAACTCTGTGGATTACGTGTTTTGTTTTGTTTTGTTGTCGCAGCCAATCACAGCCTTATCTGTTGTGGAGGTAGCTAAGCCAAATATCGGAGAGACCCACCCGGCCAGCGTACGGGCTGATGTGACGGTCACCCTCAACCTACGCCAACAGATCAAGGCTGAATGGGAATGTAAGTACGGCAGTCAGATAGTACCTGAAGACATAGTGCAGTCAAAAGAAATATAGCAATTGATGGAAAATTTGTACTAATACATGGATTTGGCTTTTTATTCGTCAGGTTGCCGTTTGTAAGATGCATCTGCAAGTGCTTGTAGTTGCTCAAGTAAATATTGTAGTTAGTCCCCTCAATCCACTCTCAAATCGTCCTGGCTCAAGTCAATTTACAAGCTATTCAAATAAACTGTGATAAAGACATTCCTTTGTCGTTGTTTATGCCCTGCTAAAGGTGGAGTAGATCATTTGCAGCTATCCAAAAAGTAACTGACAAAATTATTGTTGAAAAGCCTACTTGGTTTAAAGATAGTAATGGCACTAAACTCCCTGTGAAATTAGTCTTTTTGGCTTGCTGTCATTTTGATGAAAACAATACAAGAAGGCAATTTCTAAAGATGCGTCAAGTGACTTTCCGTTAGTAGTTGGCTTATAATTTGGCCAATCCGTAAGTGGGCGCGTGCAAGCGTTGACACAACACATACGCGCCAGTGCCCGGTTGATGATGTTCGTCGGTTCAGTGCGTGACATCGCGTAGCTGCAATCCTCTGAATGAGAACGTGTCCCAGACGATGATTTCGTGCGCAATTCAAAACATGACTCGGCAACTTCTCAATTAAAATTGAGATCCTAGAATATTGTTCTCTCAGAATATACAGCATTCACTTAGCTAAAACTTCATCGGGTAGTTGTTAAGCATCTGTATTTAGATTTTTAACCCTTTTGTTGCTTCAAACAAAAATTTTTAAAATGCACAAAATGACAGATAATATATCTATGTTTAAATCTGACCAGACTCTGCTTTGAAGTTTGCAGTCTGTTTCCATTAAAGTTGCATTACCTGTGCTATTTAGATTGTCATTCCAAATAATAAGATTCCTTTTCTAAATTGCTATTTTCTAGCAATACCAAAGCTATTCACATTTGAATGAGACATCGACCGAAAAAAATTGTCCTATGTGTAGTTGTTGAATGATTACTTTACAATTTCGAATTATTTGCTGCCAGACAATAATTCCGTTATCGCACGCTGGGTAGGCTGGTTCCACCCCACAATGAGTGTTGATAATGTAATTTACAGACCGGGAGCCAGTCCAAATCTGGACGTTGCAGACGTCCAAAAAAGGAAAAAAGGTTAAGTTCATAATTAAAAAAAAAGAGTAAAACTGCTGCAAACTGCTTACTGACTGGATGGACCTGAAATATATAAATCTTAAAATTAATGTGGCCTGACGTTGCGAACTTAGCAAGTTCTTTGTTCTCTCATCCACCCTCCCCTGCATCTTTCCACACCTTTCACACCTAATCCTCCTTTTGTGTTTCTTCTTTCAGCCCTGCATGTTTGTGTGCACCCCCATGTTAATGTATGTACCTCTGTCATTTCTGTTTTAGCCTCTGAAGAAGAACTTGCTAAGTTCGCAACGTCAGGCCACATTAATTTTAAGATTTAAAAGTTCATAATTAGTCATACATAAAAAAATTGAATTTGTTGTAGAGCATGCGGTATGCAACTTTAACTTAGATTGTTCTTAACTGTTTTCAAATAGCTCTCCGCAAGCATGACGTTGCATTCCTCATCAGTGTCAGACCCACCAAAAAGATAGGCACGAGGTTCAATCTTAAAGAGGAGCACTTCATTGAGGCGGTGGGCCTGCTTCATGTCAGAGGCTGTGAGGTGGAAGGAATGCTGAATGAAGAAGGCAGGGTCATTGAAGATGGTAAGAACATAGGGCAATACTCTTTTACGACCCTGGAGGTGGCCTAAAGTTTAATATTGTCAGCAAACTTTGCAAGAAGCTTGCTAATGGAGCTTTTGACAAGCATTCATAAATACCTAAGACAGTTTACCCATTCCTATTTGTCGAGAGCCTATCACGTGGCCTGTTTTAAACGGATGATAAAGACATGGCTAGCTGGTCTTAAACACTTTTCCAGTGTCACATGAAATTTGGACTCCTGTGAAATCCAGTGCCTTTTACAGTTTTGGATGACCATTCACAATCCTCACGTAGGCATGTGCAGTACTACCAGTGAGTCATTATTTCATGGTCCTAAATTCACACTACACGCCACATCACACAGTACGCGTGACGTACGCATCAATTTCCATATAAGGAGTTGTTTTCCCAGAGGGCCTTACCATTGTATAGTCAGAGGGGTATTTTGTTGATCGAAATTGTTGAAAATTTATAATTTTTGACTTGTTTTGACTTTTGGACGAAAAGTTTTGATTTTTTTTCACCGAAAAGGTATTGATGAATGGAAATAAATATGTGCTTGGTCGGTATTAAACACTCTGTTTAAGACTGGCGATTAATAATAATACACATGATAACACACAGGTATTGCCACTCATGTGATTTGTATTTTATGTCGCGCCAGTTTGGCTCAAAATTTGATGGCTTTATTCACTGATGGAAATATGTATTGTGTCCAACCGAATCTCACATTTAAGCAAAATAATTGTTTACATAAATTACAGTGCAGCATTAATCAGAGTCCTCCCCAAGTTGGATTTTTAAGGATTTATTATCCAGCCCCTCCACCCCCCCAAAAAAATAATCCACCTTTTTGAAAATTTCCATTTTGTCTTTGGCCAGGACCTGACCCCAAACCAGAATTGCCCGGTGCCCAGCGTACCTACCGTGTATGGTTAGATCCCAATCAGTACCAGCAGGATATGGCTGGTACTGCCGCAGGCGGTGAGGATGTGTACGAGTCATTCAACATCATCATGAGAAGAAAACCAAAGGAGAATAATTTCAAGGTTGGTCAGATAACCCCTCCCCCCCTTCCCCTGAATGCCACTCTCACTCCAACCCTCCCCCTCCCGAACCCCCCTCCCCCCGCGTAATTTATATTCCTAGGAGGGTTAGGGGCAATGTCATGAATAATTCATGTTTGTCCATGAGAACGGACAATGACATCAACAGCATTGTTGTTAGTTACTCAACTAGTTACAATACATTAAAGCATTTTAAAGAACGGTTGTCGTCGAGCTACCACACAGTAGCCTAGTGGATATCGAGATGAGCTATGTATACAAATATCCCTGGTTCGAATCCACGTCGTTGCTGCTCATTTTCATCAGCTATTTTTCTTCTCCAAATTTATCACTGAGATAATTTTAAATTAGGGGAAAATAGAACGAGAACCTAAGTCTTGCAATGATTCAAAGGAAAAACTGAATTATTCATGACATTGCCCCTAACCCTCCTAGGAAAAAAAATTACACCTTCCTCCCACTGCCCCATCGCCCCACCACCCCACCGCCCCACCACCCCACCGCCCCACCCCCCCCACCGCCCCACCCCCGTAGGTAAAGATATATTTGTTATATTGTGTCCGTTCTATTTGGTATTATAATAGTGCTATTTTCTCACTTTTATCAAATGGATATACAAGTATGTCCCCAAAAGTGTCATTCTAAATATTTGTGAAATAACAACAAAACCAGGAAGTAAATTTTTTTTTTTAAATTTGTGCAGAAACTCCTGATCCTTGGCCTCAACCGGTATGAATATTATTTAATTTCCCTCACGCCTCACTGCACAATGGTCAATTGATCACAACTGCATTTTTGGACACTGTGACCAAGTTCCTTGCCTTAATTTGCCTGTGTTATGCAAGCTGGGTCAAATCCTGCATGTTGTGAAAAAGGCTGGGGTTGGGATTGGAGTCATTTGCATGGCTATCAGTCATCATGGCCAGACCTCAGTTTAATGCTCAAGGGCAAATGATTCCAATCCCAAACCGCTGCCCTTTTTCTCAACATGCAGGATTTTACACAGCTTACATAAAGCACTGAAAACGACTAAGGCAAGGAACTTGGTCTCGGTGTCCAAAAATGTTGTGATCAGTTGACCATTGTGCCATGAGGCGTTATGGAAATTAATTGAAACTCATAGGGGTTGAGGCCAAGGATTAGGAGCATCAGCACAATTAAACATTTTCAAAATTTACTTAATGGGTTTGTTGTTATTTTACAAATATTTAGGCAGACACCTTTTTTGGGACATAGCGTTTTGGAATTGAACTCATCATATTATAGTAGCTTTTTTCTTAAACCTCATGTGACCAACAGGCAGTACTTGAAACCATTCGCAACCTGATGAACACAGACTGCGTAGTCCCTGATTGGCTTCACGACATCATCCTGGGCTACGGTGACCCCGGAGCGGCCCATTACTCCAAGATGGAGAACCAGATCGCTACGCTGAACTGGAACGACACCTTCCTCAGCTTGGACCACCTCAGGGCGAGCTTCCCTGGCTATGAGATCAAAGTCACCACAGAGGAACCTGTCAAGCAAATACCACCTTTTAGGTACTGGTCCTGAAATAGAATTCAAAATTTCGATTCAGTGTCGTCGTTTTCCAGACTTCGTCGGTGGCTAAGGCATCGACTCCAGCTCTGTAATCATTTTTGAGGCCTTTATTTCAAACAAATGGAAATACTCTAAACTTTAGCCAGAAATTAAACATCAACCTTTTTTTGAGCTGGATACCTAAAAGTATACCGGGACTGAAGTCATAATAACTAAAGCTGTGTTTGCTTTTGGGTGGTGTTTTTTTTTTGGGGGGGGTGTAAAACTTATGAAAACTTTTGTCAATTTTTACCAAATTCAATGAACACATACACTTCCAAAATTGTCAAGTGTCGACTGTAGGCAGGGTTCGAAATTAGCAGTAGCCCGCTAGCCAAATGCTAGTCAAAACAGCGGCGGCTAGTCAAACTATTCTTTAACTAGCAAAGATGAACGTACAGGAAGAAATAAATCATTACATTCAGAAAGGAAACCCTATCAATTTGTGTCTAAATTTATCAACTGTTTTAAAGGATTAAATTATTGGATCTGTTAGTCCAAAAACACTGTCAAAATTGCCTCAGAATTGAGCCTGAAAATACGCCATTTTGTATTTTAAATAAGAAAAAAAAATGCGGGCTAGTGAAAATGCCCGCGGGCTAGTTAAGAGTCCGTTTCAGTAGCCCGGCTGGCTAGTGAACAAAAAAGTTAAGGTCGAACCCTGCTGTCGGTGTTACTCTCTGCAGCGGTACATTTTACAGGGACAATTGGGTCGCAGAGGAGTTACATTGTTTTACTTAGTGAATGACTTTCCACGGTTCAAAGTTAATCTTAGATGAAATTTTAATTATCACTCACCTTAACTTACAAAAAATCCATACGTTCAGTGCGAATGCTGTAATAGACCCCCTAAATCTCAAAAGGAAACCTTCGGTGTTGGCTGCCAACAATCTTTTAGCTAACACGCTGAATCTGAAGGTTTAATTTCTTTATTTCATTGCTTTAACCCATTAGCCCTTATACCACCCCATACCGCCCCGTCTGTTACTCCTCATACCGCCTCAAAGCGCCCCAGCATTCTAGCGTTCTATTGAGGAGTAAATACAATGTAATACAATTTAATACAGGTGATGAATGGATAATTCCACTATTAAGCCGTCTACTTTACTATGTTAACCTCAAACCTGTGAAACTCCTACAGTTAGTTGGATCATGAAATATTAACCATAGTATGGCTGCGTTGCCTTGATGTCTGGTTAATAACCAGTTACAATTCTCGCTCCTCAATGCAGGATTACCTTTCCAGTCACTTCTGGTGGAGGAAAGAAGCGCAAACAAGCAGACAGCGATGGCACAGAGAAAAGGGAGTTGTTAGTTGAGCCTCATGTTATTCCTAACAGAGGCCCCTACCCTTACAACCAACCCAAAAGGTAGGTATTAAATACATACAGCATTGATATTCAGTCTAGAATTGTATCTATTGCTGCCCATGATATGTTAAAATAGAAACACTTGAAGTTTTGGTCCAAACATCTGGCCAGTTTATGGTAAATCTGTGCAACTTTGGCGATTAACGAGCAAGACAGCTACCTCTGCACCTCCAGATTTTGACAATTCACTGGGCATCAATTATCATGCCGTCAGCAACCAACGACGTAATAGATGAAACCATGGCACACCACCGTTGCCGACATTACAGACCCAAACTGCTGATGAATAAGACTTTTCCCGTAACCACTGGGGAACTGAACAAAATTTGTCACACTAGTCCTTTACAAGTGCACAAATTTCAGTTTTCTGTACCTCTGTCTGCTCTTGAATTGATGGATGGAGAGTGTTCAAAGCTGACGAAAAAAACCTTTCCCATGGATGCCGCAATGTTGATTAATGCAGAAGGGTCAGCTGAGAAGTTTTGACTGGTCAACAGCTTGGGACACTCTTCTGTCCAAGATTGTGTCACAGTTTCAAAAAGTTAACTATGATTACCCAGCACACAGGTCGCATAAAATTTGCATGCAAAGATCAAATCAGACGATTGCGGCCTCCATTGAAGAGTTGATACTCGGACTACTGGCCACTTACATGGAGCGCACAAATAGGGCTCAACCTTGATAGAAGGTTCGCTTCACAAGCCAAAAATTGGTGTGTATTTGCATAGCACAGCTAGGTTTATTTTGAGGTGAACGTTGGCTAGTTGTTTCATGGGACTGACATTCCTTGTTTTTTTCTTGTTTTTGTTTTCAGGAATGCCATTCAGTTCACACCGACACAGATTGAAGCCATTAAAGCGGGCATGCAACCAGGTCTGACCATGGTAGGTAAAAATACTGGAGTGTATCGGGGCCTAATTTCATGGCGCTGCTTAACAGTCCAAGTGATAGCATGAACGGATTGGTCTAAACTAGGATTTTACTGCCTTGAGGATGTGCGTCAAAGTGTTCTGTGTCCTAAAAATGTTGACATGAATGCAGACTGCACACATGTTCTAAGAAGTGTCTTGCTCTGCTGAAGATATTTTTGCGTTGTGCTTTGAACTTCTGATGGAGATATTTTTCCGATGGAGAAACTTTTCTCACGTCGTTTATTTCCTTTTTACTAAACGAGACTTTGAGAACCAGCAATGCAACTGTTCCCAGAGATCAATGCATAGTTTAGAAGTCAAACTATGATTACAATTTTTTCTTGCTCCAATTTGCTGATTGGCCGTGCTTTGTTTTTTTTTCTTTAGTGTGACTTCTTGTTGTCTTCAAACTCTTTTGCATCTTATTTTTCTTTCCGAAGGTTGTTGGTCCTCCTGGAACAGGCAAGACTGACGTGGCCGTCCAGATTATCTCCAATATCTACCACAACTTCCCCTCCCAGAGGACGCTCATTGTTACACACTCCAACCAGGTACAGACATCTACATTGAGATTTCACCAGGACTCTCTTGCCTACAGACTTTTAAGTTTGATGCTCATTATTCAATGCTTACAGGGCTAGCATAGGAATTCTGTACCTAAGCTGTTAGCATATAATCCGCAGTTTCAGAAAGTATTCTTACATGCAAGCCAAAGTTTCTTAACCCTAACAATCCCCATCCAGTCAAACTCCAACACCAGGGTCTGTTGGAATATGTCGGAGTGAGTACTGCACTAGTCAACTGATTATGCTTTACATGGGGTCAGGCACACCACCACAATCAGAGTCCAATAATGGTGTTGGAATTTGCAAGAGTGAGGAAGGTTCCTAGTAAATCACTCAAGGGGGTTAGGGTTATTGCTGTACATTGGTGGCACAGAAATGGTATGGCTTTGAAATCTTGTGAAATATTGTCGCTGTTTAAAGGTAGAGTACATCATTTGCTGCTATCTAAAACTTAACTGACAGAATTACTGTTAGAAAACTTACTTGGTTTAAAGATAGTAATGACACTAAACTCCCTTTGAAATGATTCATTCTGGCATGCTGTCATTTTGAAGAAAACAATAAAAGAAGGTCATTTCCAAAGATGCGTCTAAAGATGCATTTTTGGAAATTTCCATTAGTAGTTCGCACACACGCGTGGTTGCTAAAATTTATTGGTTCAGTGTGTGACATCGCGCTGCTGCAGTAGGCTGAATAAGAATGTGTCCTGGATGCTGATTTTGGGCGCAATTCAAAACACGACTTGGCAACTTTTCAATTGAAATCGAGATCCTAGAATATTGTTTTCTCAGAATATACAGCATTCACTGAGCTAAAAGTTCATCAGGTTAGGTATAAGGCATCCGTTTTTTAGATTTTGAGCACTTCTGTTGCTTCAATGAACATAATGCACAAATTACAAATGATGTGCTGTACCTTTAAAGAGTGTTGCTATTAAAGACATTTGTATTTTCAACAGGATTTTTCCTAGCATTTGGGAACTTGGTGTTTTCGGGTTGAACCAATGGAACACAATCTGTTCCCAGTGAAGAACAGCCGGTGTCATTTATGGAACACTTGAGACTCTGCCTAAATTGTTTTGACGTTTTGGTTTGTTGCCATCCGTTCCCCTGTCCGCAGTATGTTATGTCTTCCTCTAGTATGTCCCTTAGGCCAAAAAAAAAAAGACTCCGGTTTCTGGTATGCGCGCGCGTCGCCGTAGCCATGCGCGTCGGCAAAATGAAAAAGTTTTTTTTTAAATGAAAGATGATGTCCCAAAACCGCCAAACTCACTGGTTTGACTGGAATACTGCTGCTGCACAATTTTAACGTGTTTTTAGATTGGGTTATGGTCGAGAATAAGCTTTATGTGGCCTCTCTGGACTCCCATATATTTGCACTAAGTTTAGTCGGGCACCATTTGCAGTCATCAGCACACATTTGAAGCAAAAAAGTCAGGAAAAAAAAAAAAAAAGCCGCGTCGCCGCATCACTTTTTGGGCAAGCTCCATACCAGAAACCGGAGACTTTTTTTTTTGGCCTTATGGATGAGATTTCCCGTAGGCCACTTGGCTGATTTTTGGTTGCATTTTTGTTTTTCTTCCCCAGGCCTTGAATCAGTTATTTGAGAAGATCATAGCGTTGGACATCGATGAGCGGCACTTGCTGCGTCTTGGTCACGGAGAGGAAGCCCTGGAGACAGAGAAGGACTTCAGCAGGTAAGCATCAGTGATGCAGCATTGTAGTCAAGTCACTTGAGTCAAGTCTGAGTGTGGGTAACGAGTCATGGCATGTAGTCTGAGTCATGGTTGACGAGTCCGAGTCCTTTGACAATTTGACTCGAGTTGAGTCCAACTCTCCAAAATTGCGACTTGAGACGGACTTGAGTCAAAGTCCTGGACTCGAGTCCTACGACACTGCTACGAGACATTTTGTTAACCGTAAACCTCCCAGAACATTCCAAATCCTGTGGGAAGTTTTGGAGGATAATTAAGGAATGAGGACGATAGCACCCAGTCATCATTAACTTAGGCCAAGTAAAAAAAAATAAGCCAGTTTTCTCATCCCCGCCCGCTTCCTTTTTCCCGCCCGCCTCCTTTTAAAATGTTTTATTCATACATCTGCAAATATTTTGTAAATATAGTGTCAATATATTCTCTTTTTATTTGTTTGCAAGAAAATTGTAGCTAGATGTAGAAAGGGTTATGGCTCCTTTGGACCCAATTTTGTATCAGCAAAAGAGTTGAGAAAATCGAAGAATCCATCCGCCATCTTGGAAAATCTGCCAACTGAAAGGGGAAAAAAATGCTCACCTTCATTTTTTTCAAAAAGCCTGGAGGAGAAACTGTTACATTTTTTTACTCGGCCTTACATGAGTTCCAGCATGGCAAAAAATCCAAACAAACAAACTATAACAATCCTTCAATGGAACATTGTAGGTACAGAAAATACGATCAAATTCAAAGGAGCAATGTTTTCCAGACTTCTTACCAAGATCATGCATCTACATGCATTTCCACATTTATTAGACTGGATTTATCAAGCAATTGTCACACTTGACTTAATCTTATCTTTGCAGATATGGCCGTGTCAACTATGTATTGGCACTTCGTCTGGAGTTACTCAAAGAGGTGGAGAGACTGCAAGCAAGTCTAGGTGTTACTGGCGATGTTTCCTATACATGCGAGACAGCAGGCCACTTCTTTTTGTATCAGGTACAAGAATCTGTCTTTCTCTGTGTCCAAGCTGCCCACTGAAACACTTTATTTTGCTACTCATTTAAACTTGCCTTCCCTGTCCAATTTTCAAGTTTCATCCTGAAAAATAGATTCCTTTTCCAAATTGCTACTTTTCTAGCAATACAAAAGTTATTCACTTTTGAATGAGACATCGACCAAAAATATCGGCCCATGTTGAATTTATTTATTTTTTATTGAATTATTACTTTACAGTTTCAAATAGTTGGTTTCCAGACAATAATTCCATTCTCGTAGGGTAGACTGGTTGCCGCCCCACAGTCAGTATTGATAACATATGGACCGTGAGCCAGTCTGCTTGCAAAGTGATCTGTTTGTGCCCAAAACAAGTATTATTTTTTGCTCAAAGGGTTTCAGACGTCCAAAAAATGGGGGGGGGGGGAAATCAGATTTTTTGGTTGTAATAGAACATACAATTTGTTAACAGAAAAAATATAGGATTTATTGAAGAGCATGGGAACGGAACATTAATTCATTTAACAGATCTCTGATCAGTTTGTTTGGTTTGTGATCTTAGAAGGTTTTAGCTAAAAACCAATGTGAGACCAGTGCGAGGCCCAATTGCTGAGAAGTTTTTGGAGCCAATAGTAGAAATTAAAATATTTGGAGACTTTTTTTATGAAAAAAACTTGGTGACTGGCTGACTGAAGTAATGATCATCTGTGCTCCATCTTTATCGGGATTTCTTTCTGATTTTGACCTCAAGCGGTCATGAAAGAGGCTGGAATTTGAAAATATTATGTCAAGCAGCTCACAATGCTTCTTTCATTTTGGATGGATTTCTTTGATATCATGTGCATTTTATGGCCGCGACTGTGGCATCTTCAATGTAAATGTTAGGGAATTTGCCGGGAAGTCTGTTCACGTTTGCAGATAGGTGTAGATTTGGAAAATTTTGAAAATGTCAGTTTCTTGTTTTGATCGGTTCGTCCCCAGGTGGTTGCAAGATGGGAGAAGTTCTTGAGTAAAGTGAAGCCATCCTCAGGAAGCAGAGCAGGGAGTGCTCCAGCTATTCAAGAACACTTCCCCTTCAACAAGTACTTTGAGAATGCTCCTCAGGTATGTCCTGTGAATACAGATAACAGCAAATTGTTTCTTCTTATTGGAGGGACTAATGGGTTCAAGTTTGGAAAGCAGTAAGAATTTAGCTAGCGATATAGCCCAGGCCACATTCTAAAGACCGCTTCAAACGTCGAACTTCTGCTGCGTCTAATTTAATTCATTGTAGTCGACAAAATAGCGGCAGAAGTTCGGCAGTTGCTTCAAATGTCATATTTCTGTTGAACGTAATTCGGTCGTTCAAGCCATACGGTACTGCGACAAATTCTTACTATGAGGAGGCGCTCTCTCCTTCCACAGTCAATTTTATTGTGATTTTAACTAGGAGAGTTTTCATTAATCCTGCTGCTCCTCCTTTCTCGACAAAATGTCACAACATCCCTACCAGGTCGGCGTTTAGTCAAGAATACCGGTCGGCTTGATATGATGCTCAAAACAGATTTGGAGGAGAGATTAAAAAGACCTGTCAAGTTTCCAAGGCAACCTTTGAAACATGTCCATGGGCACCACCATTTTGTTTTAACGCCGAAACGTAAACAGTCGGCTGGTGCATGTACATTTTAAAATTGTACCAATGCGATTCTGATTTGGGACGTGCCAATTGAATTAGACAGGGCAGAAATTCGCCGTGTGAAACCGTGCTGCTCTTCTGCTACTCAGAGCGGCTGCCACTCGGCACTTTCGGCAGAAAGCCGGCTGTTGCTTCAAACTTTGACTTTCTGTCATGCCTAATTCAAATTTTGGGCCATTAGTTGAATAAGACACAGCAGAAGATTGACGTTTTGAGCGAGCCTTAGAGAGGCCCCGTTTTGAGGAACGCCAACAAATTTGTTGATTGAGCCAGTAAATGTACATGGGTTACCTATGCAATTTTCTGTGACGTTCATGTGAGTTTCCATGATGCAATGCAGGTCCTGGGCATAGACTTGCGAAAAATCATAGCATTAACCTACTCACTGATTGGAGTTCCTCACAAATGGTTTGTATGGAACACATTTAGAGATTTTTTTTGTCAATTGTTTCTGGTAAATTTCTGGGAAACTCATGACCATGTTACGTGTATTTGATTTTGGAAAGTCAGAAATTAGAGAATTTGTCCAACATGAAACCATTGAATGCTTTGCCTTAAACTTGGATTGATTTTTGCTCCAATAGCCTGTCTTCAAGGGACGGACATTTGAAGAGGATATGGATATAGCTGAGGTAAGACAAGTTGTTTCAAGTTTAACAAATTGTTTTAGCAGCCCCTGAAAAGGGCCACAAAGGTTCCCCTTGCTGTACTCCACTGTCTTTGTGGATGTTGCCTTGTGAATTTTTAAAGATGAAAATTAATATCTCATGATCATTACAAGTTCAGAACAGAACTGAAGGGAGGAACTTGGCTCTACAATAGAGGAAAAACAGAAGATGATAAAGATGCAAAAGGAATTGGCTTCCTGATCAATAGCAAATTCAAAGACTATGTGAAAGAAGTGAAAAACTACTCCAACAGAATAGCAACCCTAAAAGTACAGTTGACAGTTGACAAAATAAAATGTGTATCATCCAAATATATGCACCAACCAGTGGCCACGACGACTTGGAAGTTGAGGAGTTTTATGAGGATATCAATAAAGTCATCCAGGATAATCCGTGCACCTACACAGTTCTTATGGGAGATTTCAATGCAAAAATTGGACAAAGGGAAGAAGGGGAAGAAGATATCATTGGAAACTTCTGCTTTAGAGAAAGGAACAAGAGGGGAGAGAGGATGGTCGAGTTTGTGTTAGAACACAAACTAAAAGTTGGAAATACATTCTTTAAAAAGCACAAAAGCCGCTACTGGACATGGGAGAGTCCCAATGGACAATACCAGAATCAGATAGCCTACATCCTCTGCAGTAGCCGTGGGATAATCAAGAACTGTGAAGTAATAACAGCTGTAGACATAGCCAGTGACCACAGAATGGTAAGAGCTTCCATAAGTATCAACCAAAAGCTTGCCAGGCTTAAATTCATCCAGAACAAGAAGAAGAAAGGAATTAATATAATGAAGTTGAAGGAAAGGAAAGAGGAGTTCCAACTGAAGATCCATAACCGATTTGCATCCTTGGAAATGGAGGAGATGGATATCGATGAACGGTGCCAGACCATTACTACAGTAATGCTGGAAGAGGCTAGAGAGATAGCCCAACAGGGAAAGTTGATGTACCAAGATCTGAGGAGGATCAAGAAATTGAGGAATTAGATCGAAGGAGGAAGGAGATCAGACTGAAAGAAAATAAGACAGCACCAGAAAAAGTAGAATATGCAGAAATAGTAAAAACAGTGAAAAAGAAACGCCGTCAAAGGAAAAGAAGAACGACTACCAAACTCATCTTAGAGACATTGGAAAGTGGACGGGGACCAAAATCAGTGCACAAAAGAGAAGGCAAGAAATCTAGAATGAATAAACTAAAGAAAAAGGATGGAACCATTACCTGTGAGAGATCTGAACTACTTGATATATGTGCAGACTTCTATCAGGACCTGTATAGCTCAACGAGACAACAACATCAAGTAGCTCCAAACAACTCAATAAGGAACACAGATATTCTATCGATTCTACAAAGAGAAGTAGAAGAGGCACTTAATTCAATGAAAGACAACAAAGCACCGGGTATTGATGAAATCACAAGCGACATCATTAAACAAGGAGGAGATGAGATTTTACAACAGTTAACCCAACTATTCAACCAGATATTTGAAACCCAGAAAATACCAACATCATGGAAAGAAGCAAAGATGATTCTTCTGTTCAAGAAAGGAGATAAAGCAGATGTAAAAAACTATCGTCCAATCAGCTTTCTGTCTCATCTATATAAGCTCTTCACAAAAATAATCCAGAACAGAATCAAAGATGCGCTCGACGACAACCAACCAAGAGAACAAGCTGGTTTCAGAGCTGGCTTCTCAACAACAGACCACCTACATGCAATCAATCAACTGATTGAAAAGGCTTGTGAATACCAACTCCAACTGTGCCTAGGATTTGTCGACCACCAGAAGGCATTCGACTCTGTCGAACATTCTGCCATGTTCGAGGCCTTGAGAAAGGTGAATGTTGATGAAGGATATGTCCGAATTCTAGAAGACATTTATACTGATGCAACTGCCCGTATTTATATTGACAACGCTGTATCCAGGACTTTCAACATCCAGAGAGGCGTAAGGCAGGGCGACACCCTTTCTCCAAAGATATTTACTACAACTATAGAGGAAGTGTTTAGAAAGACAGACTTGGATAATGGTGTTAATATTGACGGAGAACCTCTCACAGACCTGCGATTCGCTGATGATGTGGCAATGATTTCAACAACTGTTAAAGGTATGGATGAGCAGCTATCCAGCTTAAACAAAGAGAGCAAGCTAATTGGCTTAACCATGCATAAAGACAAAACAAAGTACATGACAAACTTTGAGACCCAGGAAGACATTGAAATAGAGGGACGGAAACTAGAGAAGGTGAACAACTATAAGTACCTTGGACAGACACTGAAAATGGAGGACACCACGAGAGAAGAGGTGATGCTGAGAATCAAAGCAGGGTGGATGAAATTTGGTCAACACAAAGACATGCTAACAGACAACAAATTACCAATATCACTAAGGAAGAGACTATTCAATCAGTGTGTGCTATCCACTATGACTTATGGATCAGAAACTTGGTCATTAACTAAAGAACTTGAACAGAAACTCACAACAGCACAGAGAGCTATGGAAAGACAGATGCTTCACTTATCCCTACGAGATAGAGTAAAACATGAAGTAATTCGGCAGAAAACTGGGGTGAAAGATGTCATAGAGAAAGTCAGCGAAGCAAAATGGAGATGGGCAGGGCATGTAGCAAGAATTCAGGATAATAGATGGACATGCAGATTAACAGATTGGCAACCACGAATGGGAAAGCGAAGGAGAGGAAGACCAAAGAAAAGATGGAGAGATGATATAACCACATATATGGGAACAGCGACTTGGACTAGGACAGCCAGAAACAGAAGTGATTGGAAACGTCATGAGGAGGGCTTCATTCGACAGCGGATGGATGTAGCCTGATAGATAGATAGATAGATAGATAGATCATTACAAGAAAAGACCCCAATTAATAAAGTTTGCTCTACAGTTTTTTAGTATTAAATGTTAGGTTCAGATTACAATATGCCTGGAGCAGGATTCAGGAAATGTCTTTGTTCTTTTCAAAATGTATTAAAAAGTAAATTTTCTCTTACTCTCTTTAAAAATGTTCTGTCATTGAAAGAAATTTCTTTTGGATAATTGGATAAAAGGTATTTTGCGAAGGATTACACTTGCAGGAATTTTAAAAACTGGACATTAGAAGACAGTGTTGTACAACTTTTTAATTTTTTTTTTATAATTTTTTTTTCTTTAGGGATGCTACCGACATATCAAGAAGATTTTTCAGCAGCTGGAGGTATGTAGCACTCTTTGACATTTCGACCAGTCATTTGTAAATCGTATCAGTCTGAGTTCAAAATGATGTCAACGCTGTAATTTTGATGACTTGTAGTCAACTTCTTTGTAACTTTGTGAGTGCTTTTTACACCCACATTGTACTATGTCTTCTGAATGTACAGGGTGGTCCAAAAAAAAGTTTACATTTTTTCAGAGGGAGATTTCTTAAACTTGAAAGACCTGTTGAAATTGTTTTAAACTACAAGATCTTGGTTGTATACGGTGAAAACGGTGTTAAAAAAAAAGCTCAAGTTAAGGAAAAAAATCCTGTATTTCCAGGCAAAAAAAGATGGAGAAGAAGAGTCTAATTTGTTCACTTTTAACGACAAAGGTTGTGTGTTGTCGTCCTTCTTAGGGACCCATTTGTAATGATATCCATGCTATCATTTGACGTGTTTCCCCCCTCTTTTTGTTGTTCAGGAGTTCCGTGCCTTTGAGTTATTGCGTAGCGGTGTGGATCGGTCCAAGTACCTGATGATCAAGGAGGCTAAGATTATCGCCATGACCTGCACGCATGCTGCCCTCAAGAGGCATGACCTGGTCAATATGAACTTTCAGGTGAGCTGCATGTATGCCATGAAACAAAATTGAAAACACTGCAGAGAGTCTGTTACAGCTTGAAATATCCTCTGTTTTGACTTCAAATTTGCATGCCTGTAGATAATCACTAATAATAAGCAATTCACATTACAGGGTGATTAAAAAAAAACGAAACCCAAATGTCGGGACCACTGTTTTAGTGAAGTTCTACATGTAGCACTTTCAAAATCTAGGATATGAAAGCCCAATTCATAAGCTTTCTTTAGTACAAGAATCATTCAAATCACTCATGTACTTTTCAAGTTACGGAGTTTTAAATCCAACCACCGTTTTAAAGTTTCCACGGATCACAAAAAAGGTGTGCGTTCTTTCAGCAAAACGAAAACGATTCACACACATCCTTATACGATTTGTTTTCGTTTTGCTGAAAGAACGCTGAACTTTTTGTGATCCGTGGACAGAACCTTAAAATGGCGGCTGTGTATAAAACTCCGTAACTTGAAAAGTACATGAGTGATTTGAATGATTCTTGTACTAAAAGAAAGCTTATGAAATGGGCTTTCATATCCTAGATTATCAAAGTGCTACATGCAGAACTTCACTAAAACAGTGGTCCCAACATTTGGGTTTCGTTTTTTTTTACTCACCTTGTACAGTGAACCACCAAGTGTTTTTTTCTCAAAGTTGGCACTTTTTATATTCTTGGTTTGACATTCTTCATATATTTTCCCGCAGTTAATCATTGTTCTGACACCAAACACACATTTGCATTTTGGAGCCTTTTAAAAAAACTCATTGTTATTCACACGGAAAAAAATCCGACAATTTCACACCAAAGATAAAAACTTTAGTCACATTTGTCCAAAGAATGTAACAACTTATGTGCCCATGTGCATAGAAGGAATAGAGTCTGGCATGCGTTTGTTAACTTTTTGGTGATGACTTTTTGGTGTAGTTACGGGCCCTGTTCCCATAAGAGAACAAAAATCCACTTTCAGGTTATTGGACGTACCAGACTACATGTAGTTAGCGACATTTAAAACCAACAGGAGTGTCATGGATAGATGGCAGGGTTTGAAATTATGAAGGGACATTTTGGGGTAAAACAATGATGAAGATGAAAAAAAACAACATGAAAATAAAGATGGCGATCACCGCAACGCACTGTGAATGTAAAATACCGCGTTGATTTGCATGGCATCAACTTTAAACTGCCTAAGAAAATTGAAAGAGACACGTCAAAATTTCAAAAAAGTAGTGTCATTAAAAAATAAAGATAAGTCTGCTTTAGGTTGCAGAAGTCTTTTTTGAATGATAAAAAACACTCTTGACTCTCACTTGACCAAAACTAAAGAGGGGCCCATAACTACACAATCGTTGACACTTTTTCTCGGCCAGTGCGTTACTGTCCTAATGACCTTTGGCCTGACCTTATCTTTTCTTATTTCAGTATGACAACATCCTGATGGAAGAGTCTGCTCAGATTTTGGAGATTGAAACCTTTATTCCGCTACTGCTCCAGGTATGTGAACAGAAGTGTGCATTTGTACCCGGTTAGTGTGTATCCACTGTGTGGTGTGAGCGGGCCGTCACCACGTTATGGGGAATTTTGTCATTGTTACGGTAATTAGGACCAAGTTTTGGGGACTTTCTGCTGTCCCCATAGCGTCTTCTGTCCCCATAGTACCATGGGACAACTTGCTTGTAGTCCCCACAGTTACTGAACAAGAAAGTGTGTCCTGTCCACTGGGCTCTTGAGAGTGGTAGAAAAGTTCCCTCTCTTGTTTGCTCATGGAGCCCATACACATTGAGCAACAAAGCCTTTTTACAAATTTTGACAACTTCTAAATATAATGGGGGGGGGGGGGTTGGTGGTATGGACATGTACTAACCCCACCAAAAAGAATCATCGCCCGTGACAAAGAGTTTGTCATATTGAGACTGTTATTCCCACTCTGTTGCAGAATCCTGAGGATGGTTTCAGTCGGTTGAAGCGCTGGATCATGATTGGGGACCACCACCAGCTCCCACCAGTCATCAAGAACATGGCCTTCCAGAAGTACTCCAACATGGAGCAGTCTCTCTTCACACGCTTTGTCCGCCTGGGGGTACCCACGGTGGACCTGGATGCCCAGGGTAGAGCCAGACCCAGGTAGGTCAGAGGACATTTAAAAGAGGGTGGACATGGATTCCTAGGGTAGAGCCAGCTCCAAGTAGCTCATAGGTCATTTAGGGAGGATGGACCTGGATGCCCAGGGTAGAGCTATGCCCAAGTAGGTCAGAGGTCATTTGGGGAGGGTGGACCTGGATGCCCAGGGTAGAGCTATGCCCAAGTAGGTCAGAGGTCATTTAGGGAGGGTGGACCTGTCATTTAGGGAGGGTGGACCTGGATGCCCAGGGTAGAGCTATGCCAAAGTAGGTCAGAGGTCATTTAGGGAGGGTGGACCTGGATGCCCAGGGTAGAGCTATGCCAAAGTAGGTCAGAGGTCATTTAGGGAGGGTGGACCTGGATGCCCATGGTAGAGCCAGTCCCATGTAGGCCATAGTTCATTAAGGGAGGATGGACCTGGATGCCCAGGGTAGAGCCAGGACCTGGATGCTAAGGTTTTTTTATGAGTGGGGGTGAGAAGATAGCACCTTGCTCCCATAAGAAAACACCTGTGTATTAACAAAGTGTGACATCATCGTCTTGGGATCATCATGTAACTTGCTCCAGTCACCACTTGATGGAATAGTCATCCAGTATTGATAAAAAACATTTGTATGTAGCAGTAACAGTCTTCACAGGTGCCCTCTCAAAACTTTTTTTGAGTTTACACACAAGTCTGTTGTAAGCCCTCAAATTTATTCTTTTGGTTCGTTTTTCTGCTACACTGATAAATAAATCATAGAAATCTTCTCTTTGGGATTTGACGAATTGATTGTTACAAATTCCCTTGATAACTCTACAGCATTGCCACACTGTACAACTGGAGGTACAAGAAGCTGGGCAACCTTCCCCATGTACACCTGACGTCAGAGTTTCACATGACCAACCCCGGCTTCCAGTTTGACTTCCAGCTCGTCAACGTCGAAAACTTCAATGGCATCGGGGAATCAGAACCCAATCCTTACTTCTATCAGGTGGGCTCACCGATCATTGTGCTTTGTCATTTTATGACAGTTTTGCTGAGAAATGAATTGCTTTCAACCTACTGGATATCAGAACAGGGTTCCACCTTTTTTTTTTATTTTCAATAGCCAGCCGGGCTACTGAAACAGACTCTTAACTAGCCCGCGGGCATTTTCACTAGCCCACACGTTTTTCTTACATAGAGTCTCATAAACAACAATGTGCATACATGTAAAACGTGTATCCTGAGGCAAACATGTCACTGTTTTTAATAAACCAATGTGATAAGTTAACCCTAAACAGTTAATAAAATTGGACACAAATTGATACAGGTTTGCTTTCTGAATTTAATGATTTATTTCTTCTCATCTATTCATCCTGCCGTAGCCCAATAATTTTTGACTCGCCAGCCGGGCTACTTTGGAATAGGTTGACTAGCCAGTTGCTGTTTTGACTAGCATTTGGCTAGCAGGCTACTGCTAAAAGTGGAGTAGGTACATACAGAAACCCCGCCCCAACGCCCCCAAACAATCTTTATTAGGCTACTGTTAATCAATATGTTAATCTTTTTGCCCCAAATAATTTATCGTAGAACCTGGCCGAAGCGGAGTATGTGGTGGCAGTCTTCATGTACATGAGGCTTCTGGGATATCCAGCTGAGAAAATCAGCATACTGACGACCTACAACGGGCAGAAGCACCTGATCCGTGATGTCATCAACCAGCGATGTGCCAGCAACCCACTGATTGGCCAGCCAAGCAAGGTAGTAAACATGGTCCAAGGGAGAAGAACGCTATACAATCTGACCTAAAGGCGGTTTTAGGACATATGATCCCTAATATGCAAGCGTAGTTCAACTATCATGGGAGTAGCCCTTGGATAGTGTACTGCACATCGGGTGTCCCCCCCCCCCCCCCCCCCCCCACTTAAATTTGGCTACTGCCTTCACAAAAAAAGGGTATTATGTAGCAAAAAAGTGAAATTAAGTTATATACATAGATAGAAAGTCCATATCGTAAGCTTCCATTTGGTATGTAATAGAGCTCCATAGCCCCTCCCTTTCTGGAGATATGGCGTATTTGCATATTAATTACTTCTTGCAGGTGCAGGTCAGCTAGACTGGTTCCCTTACCTTACAATTTTCTGGCATCTATAAATGGATCCATTTTATATTTAGTGGAGTCAGGGAACCAGACTACTTGAACATGTTTTTTGGTTTTTTTTTTCCTGCATTTTCGAACACAGAACTTCAAACATGTCAGTGTAACAATATTGTATCTATTATACTAACCCCTCAAATAGTTCATTTCTGAAAATTACAGCAAAAGCCAATGATGTACATTCCCTTTAACGTTGAGTGGACCATTGGATAATGCACAGCGCGACTTAGTACCCTTTTTTGTGGAGCGGGGCACATATATGAGGTATAGTAATGTAGTTTTGCAGTTTGCTCTAAATATTGCATAGTTTTCTAATGGAATGGTTCCCCTCTGTGTTTGTATTCAGGTGACTACAGTGGATAGGTTCCAGGGCCAACAGAATGATTACATCCTCCTGTCATTGGTCAGAACCAGAGCTGTTGGTCATCTCAGGTATGAGGATCATTAGATGATTGCATTATCACTCGACTAGAACCAGGCTAACAAAGGCAGTGAAATGGTCTATGGAAATCAGTGAAATGTTTTCACAGGGGTCTGCTAGCCGGTTCAAGACTAATGAAGGCAGGGGGTACCACAACCAATATATAAATGTACATATTCCTGATGTGAATTCCATCTTACTGGAGGTATTTTTGTCATAAGAAGGGGTCGTGTGTTTCTATAAAATTAATGATGACTTTTTTTCTTGGTGTCTGTTTTTTTTTTCCAGGGATGTTCGTCGACTGGTTGTAGCCATGTCTCGAGCGCGTCTGGGCTTGTATGTCTTTGCCAGGGTGTCGCTGTTCCAGAACTGCTATGAGCTCTCGCCGACGTTCAACCTGGTGAGCAAACAAGACCCAGTTGGCAAAACATACCAAAACATCAAGCATGTTCTTTTTTTTCCACTTTACTTGTCGGCTATTTTGTCTTTCCCGATACTTGTTATTACCTCAGATAACTCTAGCATTTGTCATCCCTCAATAGAGTCCTAGCTTAGAATCCAATTTTTAACCCTAATCTTCCCAAATCCTCCAAAATGATCTTTGCAAAATGGAGGATTTTGCAGGATTGGGACTATATGTCAAAAATGTGTGGCTGGTTTTGGAGGATGCACTTTGTCAAGGTCTTAGGCAGGACCTTGAGTAGTTTATGTTTAGCCGTGCACAAATTTGGTCCTAAATAATGCTTGAAATCCTCCGCACTGCTCCAGGATGTCACTGGCTCTGCCCCAACAAACAATGTACATATACTGACAGTGATTAATATTGCTGGAGGATTTTGCAAGATTGAGACAGTGGTCACCCCTCCAAGGACAACATTCAAGAAATAACAGAGGATTTGGCAGTATTGGAGCTGTATGCTATTGTAACATTTGAGCAATTGACACAATTTGTTTTGACATGGCGCGCCATAGAAAGCGATAGACGCGCAATTAGTTTGTCGCCGCCAGCGGGCTAGTCAGTTGGTGAACGCTACTTGTGCTGGAAGGACCAACCAAGCCTACCGGAGCGTCAATCCAAGGAGGCGAAAGGGCGTACTGCAGTAAGTATATGTGCCTACCTACCTTTAGCGTGGGGCATATAGCGGAGCCATAGGCGCGACTGTTGGCCGGACGCCTCGAGGGACGACGTACGCTAGCGAGCGTACATCTACTGAGGCGTCGGTCCGAGCACTGAGGCGCAGGGCTGCTGTAGGTACCAGTGGAGGCATAAGGACCCATCGAGGAGTTACACGCTCCATATAAGCCAGGCTCACGAGGAGCCTACCCCTTTGAGGCCCGAGGAGACGAGAGGCGTTGCCGAGGGAACAACTGTGCGCGACATTTAGAAGCTCATAAATGCGGCACTTGTGTGGTGGATAAGTGCAAACTAGTGGCGGGAGGCGCTATACACTCACTAGAGGCGCTATAACACCCACTAGAGGCGCCATAACACTCCATTGAGGCGCTATTTAGGGCGTATACAAGTAAATCACTCTAATCATAATAATCGATCTAATTAAATAAATCAGTGAAACCTTCTTTCTTTTGTCATTGCGTCACAGTCATTTGTACATGTTTGTCAGTCTGTATTGTCTGTCTGGAAGTCAGCGATCAGTGAGTAGACTGAGTATACGTGGTGGTATATTTCCAACCAAACGGACCTGCACCTCGACGCTGTTAGGGTTACTCGCTTTACCCGCGAGTGTTCGCCGAGGACAACCGACCTGGCAATAGTAAAATCCGCCACAAATAATGGCAGCGGTGGGATTTGTATGCTCAGCTTATTACTTGACGCTTGGAACATTTTTTTTGTGTGTGCACTGACCACTTTACGAGCGTACGTGTAAACAGACTGATAACTAATCTTGATTGCATAATCAAATTTGGAGTTGATCAAGTGTTGCGAGTGATTAGACAAAGTTGGACACTCCGATTTTTGCGGAGGACTTGGAAGGATAATTCTCAGGACGCTGACACTGAATGGCCAAGGCCAAGTGTTCGGACGAGATGAGCAGTAAACAGAGAGAAAGCACAGGTACCCTCACAGGCGAGCGTACTGTGCCGATATTGCAGGAGGAAATTGACCTACTGCGTATGGAAGTCCAACTGAAAGAGGATCAGTTGGCAAACTCGATGAGAGAAAAGGAACGTGCCGAGACCCGGTTGGGGCAATTTCTGTCTCAATCCCCGGGGTCTCCGGAAGAGGAACACCACCAACGTGGGTGGATACACAAAAGGCCCGAGAGGGATGACAAGGAAATCGAATTTAAGTATGACTTAACGCGTGACATGGAGACCTCTGGTTATGGTTCCATGTTTGGGCGCGTAAAACAGATGCAGCGAACCGGTACGGAGACAGGCCGGAACACATCTACACCGATGAGAACGATGATGAAGAATACAACATACTTGCCACAATCACAGTCGACGGCACAGACACATCCTACTACTGATCGTGGAGGAGCTATAACGCCTCCGGTGGAGGGCACTCCAGAGAGTGGAGGCGCCACCCCCACAAACGACAAACACGGTGATGCGAAGGAGGGCAGGCCAACCTCTCCTAACACCCCGTGGCCATTGAAGAGAGAGGAGCGGATTCAATCGTCACAAGAGTGGCAGGACCGATTTGGAGGAAAAGCCAAACGACCTAATATTGTTCCGGATCGATTCAGCGGAAAACAGCCCTGGATAGATTATAGGGAACACTTCGAGTCTTGTAGGCGAGTAAATGGCTGATGAGGAAGCTGCAGCGTTCCTGGCCGCAAGTTTGCAAGGATCCGCTGTGAAAATTTTGACTAATCGCCAAGGGGAAGGACAAGCCCGGCGATACAAGTATACTGAACTAATTGGACTACTCGATTCACGTTTTGGGCCGGGGCAGATGGCTGAGAACTTCCTTATGGAACTGAGAAACCGTCGCCAAGGCCCAAAGGAGACTTTACAGGAACTTGGAGGAGCAGTCCGAGAGTTGGCTACCCTATCATATCCGGAGTTAACGGAAGACAGTAGGGATAGATTGGCTCGTGGGCATTTTTCAGACGCAATCGCCAGCCAGAGCATTCGGGAAGGAGTTTTCCGGTCAAGGCCGTCTTCTCTGAATGACGCCGTTCGTGCGGCGCTGGCGACGGAGAATTTTGAACGGATTGAGGAACAACGATGTGGAAAAAAGGACAAGAAATGCCGCATGGGGCGAGATGAGGAGGAGTACCGGGACACCATCATAGCTGATGTGGTCGACCATCTGAAGCAATACTACAAGAATGTGAGAGACGAGCAGGCAACTGAGGAAAAGTCACCTCAGCCTGAAAAGAGAAGAGACACACGCGTATACCACCCGAGACCGCGTAGGATAGCCAACCCGGATGACAGGTGTTACGGGTGCCAAGGAAAGGGACATTTTGCAAAGGATTGCACAAACCCAACTACCCCTGCACGAAGGCGCTCGGGAAACGGCCGCCAGCCGACTCTGCGACCCAAGAGGAGGCTGGGCGAACAGAAGGGTCAACCGACAATGGACTCAGAAGTTCAACAGGACAAAACTCATCTCAACCCTGACGACAAAAGAGAAATATTTGCACCATTGGTTGTTCCAAAGCAGGGACTTTACGTACAAGGAGAGTTTCGGTCAGTCACTATCCCATTCCTGGTGGATACCGGGACGACGGACACAATAATCTCGGAGGAGGTTTACTATCAGATACCGACAGAGAGACGCCCACCGTTGGAGCAGGATGGCATCCGAGTCGTGCAGGCAGATGGTAGTGTTATGAAAACAGTAGGTGTGGCAAACATGGACTTGCGTATTGGAAGGACAGCGTGCCCAGTACGGGCAGTCATTGCCAAAGTCAAAACCAAAGGCATACTCGGGATGGACTTCCTGCTCCCAACTGGAGGGACACTGGATTTCAACAAGTGTGAACTTTTGCTTCACGGAGAACACATACGGTGCACAACTAGATGGGGAACTACCTTGCATGCCAGGGTGGTTGTGGCAGAAACGACTGTCATTCCGCCCGGACACGAAGCTCTTGTTCAAGGAAGAGCGACCCGTGATTTCGAATCAGGTGACCTGGGGATTATAGAACCGATTGAAGGAGGTGGTGAGTTGGCGCAAAAAGGCTTGATTCTTGCAAGAACGTTGGTAGATCCTAAGGAGGGAGTACTTGCCTTGCGGTTGCTTAATCCGGGCAGCCGAGAGTGCATGGTTCGGTCGGGCACGACAGCCGGACGCCTCACACCGGTGGTAGAGAGAGATGTGCTGCAGGCACATGCAGTTGAACCTGGAGATGAAAACAGGGATGTTCATGTCCCCGGTCACCTTGAGGATCTCTGGAAACGCAGTGTGGAGAATCTGGATCCCTGTTATCACTACGCAGTGGCTCGGCTGCTCACTGATTTTGCGGATGTATTTTCGGAGGGCGATCATGACATTGGGAGAAATGATTGGGTGAAGCACCATATCGACACGGGAGAAACACGACCAGTCAGGCAGAGGCCCCGCCGGCAGCCATTGTGCAAGCAACAGGAGATTGACCGACAGGTGCAGGACTTGTTGAAGAGGGGACTGATTACGCCATCAGACAGCCCCTGGGCCTCAAATGTGGTGCTAGTAAGGAAGAAAGATGGAAGCCAACGCTTCTGTGTAGACTATCGGGGACTTAACGAGACAACTATCAAGGATGCGTACCCAGTTCCTCGCATCGACGACACCCTGGATGCACTGTCAGGTGCGAGGTGGTTTTCCACCTTAGACCTCGCATCTGGCTACTGGCAGATCGAGCTCGATGAGGATGCGAAGCAAAAGTCAGCCTTCGTGGTGCGCGGGGGCTTGTACAGCTGGAGGGTCATGCCCTTCGGCTTGTGCAATGCCCCTGCCACCTTCGAAAGGCTGATGGAAAGGGTCGTATCCGGACTACAATGGGAGACTTTACTCGTATACCTCGATGACGTTATCGTGTACGGGAGAAGCGTCATGGAGGAGATACAGCGCCTACGCGAGGTGCTGCAGAGATTTAGATTGGCTGGATTGAAGTTAAAGCCGAAAAAGTGCTTTCTCTTCAAGGAGACCGTGAAATATCTGGGACATGTGGTTTCACCAGCCGGAGTTTCCACTGACCCGGACAAAATCGAGGCTATTAAATCATGGCCTATCCCGACAGATGTGAAAGGAGTGCGAAGTTTCTTAGGACTGGCCTCCTACTATCGCAGATTTATTAAGGGATTTGCAGATGTGGCTCGTCCACTCCACCGGCTCACAGAGAAGTCAAGGGAATTCCTTTGGGATGATAGCTGTGAGGTGGCATTCGTGACTCTGAAGAATCACTTACAGGAGGCGCCCATCTTGGCATACCCGGACCCAACAGGTGACTTTGTACTGGACACGGACGCCAGCGGGGAAAGCATCGGAGCAGTCCTTTCGCAGATACAAGAAGGAGAAGAACGGGTAATCGCTTATGCGAGTAGGACTCTTTCCCGTCCTGAAAGAAACTACTGTGTGACTCGCCGAGAGCTTTTGGCAGTCGTCTTCTACCTCAAGCACTTTAAACAGTACTTGTATGGGAGAAAGATTACCATCCGTACTGATCATGCCGCATTACGCTGGCTGGTCAACTTCAAAGACCCGGAAGGACAAGTAGCCCGCTGGCTACAAGCGATTGGAGAGTACAACTATGAGATCATTCACCGCCCAGGCAAGAAACTTGTAGTCAGTGTGGCCTGGCGGATGATGTTAAGACAGAGGTTGGAGCCAAAGCTGAAGTAAGTGACGTTCTGTCAGGTGAAGACAGTGTAGTACGAGAGGAGAAAATGGTGACCAGGTTGTTGCAAATGGAACCAACCATAACATTGAAGGATATCGCCGAGGCCCAGCTCCGGGACCCCACACTTTGCGGGATTGTTAACTGCAAGACAGGATCAGAAGAACGTCCGGACTGGAGCTATGCTCAAGCACGAGGCATAGTGGGCAAGATATACTGGGGGCAATGGGAACGGTTGGAAATAAGGGACTCAGTGCTGTGCCGACGTTGGGAGTCGCATGATGGGCGAGATATTGAGTGGAAGGTGATCTTGCCACGAGAATACAGGGAGGTTGTCCTGGAGGAGCTACACGCAGGTGTGACCAGTGGACACTTTGGGGTGGAGCGTACACTGGCGAAAGTGAGGACCAGATATTATTGGGCTGGGATGGCGGCGGACGTAAGGTCATTTTGCCGAAGATGCTTGAGGTGCGCCCAGCGGAAATCCCCGCCCAGGAAAAGGCGGGCACCTCTTCAACAACACCAGGTGGACATGCCCATGGACAGGGTTGATGTCCTCCGAGGTCACGTCACCAGAGTTACAGAAATTAGCACTCAGACAACCTTCCAGGATGGGACCAAAGTCAGCGAAACCCGGGTAGAGCGAATCTACGAAGTCAACTTTGACCAGCTATTCGAGAAGAAATAGTCTTCAAGGCCAACCCTACCAGATGTTGCAGATCTTCGATTTCCACTTGTTTTGTTGAAGTTACTAGTTAAAAAGAAAAGAAATGTTTTTGTAGAATAGATTGTTCCCTAAAATTTGTTAGTCAGAGACTTGCCTCGTTTATATAACGTTTTGATAAACTAAATTTATGAGGAAACAGTGTCCTAAGTTATGAGACACTATGAGGCGACATGGGGCACTTGATGTTAGTCCACTTAAATTATTGATGGCGAAAAAGTGAGATAATTTAGAGACGTCGCCATGTTGTATTTAGAAGCCGATCATTTTGAATAAATAAGTTTTGAGTGTTACTTTTTGCCTGCTAATTTTCTTTGTGCATAATTAAGTAGCAATTGCTAATGTTTGTAGTGATTTGTGTCAGCTGATTCTGAACGGGACGTTCAGGCTTAGAAGGAAGCTGTGTAACATTTGAGCAATTGACACAATTTGTTTTGACATGGCGCGCCATAGAAAGCGATAGACGCGCAATTAGTTTGTCGCCGCCAGCGGGCTAGTCAGTTGGTGAACGCTACTTGTGCTGGAAGGACCAACCAAGCCTACCGGAGCGTCAATCCAAGGAGGCGAAAGGGCGTACTGCAGTAAGTATATGTGCCTACCTACCTTTAGCGTGGGGCATATAGCGGAGCCATAGGCGCGACTGTTGGCCGGACGCCTCGAGGGACGACGTACGCTAGCGAGCGTACATCTACTGAGGCGTCGGTCCGAGCACTGAGGCGCAGGGCTGCTGTAGGTACCAGTGGAGGCGTAAGGACCCATCGAGGAGTTACACGCTCCATATAAGCCAGGCTCACGAGGAGCCTACCCCTTTGAGGCCCGAGGAGACGAGAGGCGTTGCCGAGGGAACAACTGTGCGCGACATTTAGAAGCTCATAAATGCGGCACTTGCGTGGTGGATAAGTGCAAACTAGTGGCGGGAGGCGCTATACACTCACTAGAGGCGCTATAACACCCACTAGAGGCGCCATAACACTCCATTGAGGCGCTATTTAGGGCGTATACAAGTAAATCACTCTAATCATAATAATCGATCTAATTAAATAAATCAGTGAAACCTTCTTTCTTTTGTCATTGCGTCACAGTCATTTGTACATGTTTGTCAGTCTGTATTGTCTGTCTGGAAGTCAGCGATCAGTGAGTAGACTGAGTATACGTGGTGGTATATTTCCAACCAAACGGACCTGCACCTCGACGCTGTTAGGGTTACTCGCCTTACCCGCAAGTGTTCGCCGAGGACAACCGACCTGGCAATAGTAAAATCCGCCACACTATTTTAAAATGGAGGCAGTTGGAGAATTTTGCAGGATTGAGGTTGCATCCTAGCAAAAGTGCCAAGGGAGTTAAGGTTAAAAGCTTGTTTTCTGAAGACTTTATGAAAATTAAGAAACCCAGAAGTTTCAGATACCTTTATCTCATGAAACAAAGGTCCCACAGAGAGCTAAGACATACCACATGAATGCCTAAGTGGCTTTGTGAAAGTCATGAACTGAGAAAGATAGTTTTGTTGTAACTTAAAGATGTCGGTTACAAATGATTTATTTTGCTTTGTGTTACAGTTGCTTGAACGACCATTGCAGCTTCACCTTCACGTGTCACAGAGTGAAACATATCCATCCACAAAGAAGGTAAGTGAATGTAGAATATACTTCATTTACAACTTAAAGATCAGTCACTTTAGTGTGGCAAAAGTTGACTAGATTTAAAGATAAATTTTAAACAATCTACAATATCAAAAACTAAATACGGGAGTCTCAGCCATAAACAGTAAAAGTAAAAAATCGGCTAAATCCGCCCCATCTGCTAAAAGCCATAAACAAAACAAAAGCTGTAGGAAGCATCTGCTACAAACCCATTTTGATGATGTCAAGCTACAGCTCTTTCTATCAAGCGACTGTTTCGTGCCATGCTCATTCATAGGCATAGTGAATGCACTTCACACGTGTCGATTTATGATTTGTTCGCGAATTGAAACAATTTAGGCCTATTTTCTGACAGCTCGTCTTGTTTCAAAGATTTAACAAAGGAGAAGTGAGGCACAGTTTACAGAGATCTTCTCCCTTGCAGAAATAATAAAATATTGGGAAGCTTAAGAATTCAACGACAAGCGTACTTCAAACTTTAAACTGAATTTTCTCAAAATACCAGTTTTCGAGTAAGGCTGTTTTGCCATACAAGGGCTGCTGGCATTTTTGCAAGGGCATCTTCCTGAATACTCTACTTTACAGGAACAAGACGATGTTTTCTTAGGACTTCTATTCTTTGCAAGTTTAAGGTGCATCAGGCCCTCAAGTAAAATTGACAGTGGCTGGGCTCTAACATCCTAAATCCTTCAAACAATTTATATACGTCACATCCCACATCACAGCAGTCAACAATTGTTTTGTTATATCGTACCAAGAAGTCAAACAGATAAATGGTTGTAACTTCTTGTGAGAGAAATAAATTAAATCACTGTGATGTACCCTTTGATAACTGAAGGTTTTGATGTCCTGCCTGACATGAGACTGAGTGTTTGACGTTGCAGTTCTCATTGCGCGAAGCTAGCGCGCCGGCAGGTTCCAAACGCGCACATAGTGAACACAGTGCGATATCACTGATCTCCACGTAAAAATGGATATAAGTGTTTGACATGTGTTTTTATAGACCAGACACGTGGCTGTTCTAGACCAATGAAATTACAGTATCCAAGCACATGATGTAACAATCTAGTCTTCAGTCTTGGAAAATAGTGTTATACAAGGCTTTGCCTCGCTAGGCAGTGGAGGGATCTCACTGCCTGTCATTTGCTGGACAAGATAAACTGCACTTTGGTCTCTTGGCGATAGTAAACCCTGCCATGTGAGGACTGCAGAAAAACAAAATTGTCGGCTCATCTGTCAAATTCTTTCGTTTTCATTGTCCTGTGAATCATGTCCACGTGAGGAATCCAATGTTTTGCAGAGTTTAATTCCAAGGCTAAGGCCAAAAAAAAAGTCTCCGGTTTCTGGTATGGAGCTTGCCCAAAAAGTGGTGCGGCGACGCGGCTTTTTTTTTTTTTTTTACCGGATTTTTTTGCTTCAAATGTCGGCTGATGACTGCGAATGGTGCCCGACTAAACTTAGTGCAAATATATGGGAGTCCAGAGAGGCCACATAAAGCTTATTCCCGACCATAACCCAATCTAAAAACACGTTAAAATTGTGCAGCAGCAGGATTTCAGTCAAACCAGTGAGTTTGGCAGTTTTGAGACATCATCTTTCATTGAAAAAAAAAACTTTTTCATTTTGCCGACGCGCATGGCTACGGTGACGCGCGTGCATACCAGAAACCGGAGACTTTTTTGTGTGGCCTAAACAAGGTTTATATCACAAGATACCGTACAGGAAGCTTGATACTCTCAAATCATTTTCTTCCTGTCAGGTCGAGGAACCTCGGTACGATTCTCCCTTGGTCATAGAGGACATGCCACACATGGCACAGTTTGTTTATGACTTCTACCAGGACAAGATACGGAGGCTGCAGGCATCGCGAGGGGTAAGTACCCCCTAGATTTTTTATTCAGAGCTGCACGAGTTTTATTCCTGATGGTTTTAATGTGGAAATTTGTCTAAAAAGCATGTTTTGAAAGGCTACATCATATTACCCCTGCTCATCATCAGGTGAATGAATGCAAACCAAAGACCAACTGAGCTCCTTAGAAATTGTTCAATTTTCACCATGCTTCCTCATTCCGCTTAGGCATCCCATTTAGTGTCTTCAGTATTTTGGAATTGATTATATGTGATGGTTAAAGGGAATATACATCATTTGCTTTTGCTGTAATTTTCAGAAATGGATGGAATTGGGGGGTTGGAAATATATAGCAAATATAGTTACACTGATTTTTTTGAGGTTTTGGGTTCAGAAATGCTATAAAAACCAAGAAAAACGATCATTTTCCTGTAGTCTGGTTCCCTGACTCCATATAAGAAGAAACAGAGCAGTTTACATACATTGGGGAATTGTAAGGTCAGGGAACCAGTCTAGCTGGCTCGTATCCGTTCATAGGTTTGTAATCGATTGCAAACAAGTGCGATGGTCAATTGGGGCCAGTATTTGAAAAAAAGCCAGTTGTTTCCAACGCTGATCGGCCGATCAGCGTTGGAAATTGATACAAAAATAGCACTTTTCTTGAAAATGACAGTATACCAGGTGCCATGATTTTACAGGATGCTTTACACTGTCATTCACTAACAGTCCAGCAAGGTATTTCAAAATGATTTGGTAGTTTTATTTTTTGATGTTAGCAAATGTTGTATTTTCCCTTTAAGCCAAAAAGAAACCAAAAACAATAGAGCTTTATTAAATTACTAGAGCGCTGATTCTTCTTTCTTGTGGGCGGAGATACTTTGAAGACGTCCTGAGCGCAGACACTTTGAACTCATGTGCGTGTTTGTAAAGCAAAATGAAATTAGGTGGAGTGAGGTTCGAAAGTGTACTCTAAATGCAACGCGCAAGAACAACATACGCGTGTCATGACGGTAAAAAAACGTCACGGCAAAAATCATCTGCAGCGGATACGTGCACGCGTTTACGTTGTTTGCGCAGAGTAAAATGAAACGCTCATTTACTGATCGTGCATTTCGGTTTGGGGCGTATTGGCTTTGATAACGCACCTGTATAGAATACAAACGAAGATATGCAAATAGCCGTACAAAAGCCGTACAAAATTTTGAGTTTTCCACATGGATGCGCCATGTGCCCAGCAGACATCACTTTGTACTTCGAGTCAGCGCTCTAGTAGTTTAATATAGCTCTATGCCGATAATACTCTTATTGTCGCCAGTCAAAAAAAAATTAGGTTTTTAAATAATGTTAAAAAATAGATCTTCCTCTTTACAATGACAGTTTTATATTTGAAATGAATCATACTTGGCAGAATTATGCCCATTTTAAAATTTTTGGTGTCACAAAGTGAAAAACATATGTTTCCCGTCATAAATTTGCCCATTTCCTGAACTCAACGTAGACCCAATGTTAACTTGTCCTTAGCAACACAAGCATTTAAATGTTTAGGAAGTGACCAACAAAACGTTTAGCGTAACTCTGTTTCAAAGCAGAAGTATATTTTTATTTGTTTCCCCTTTGATGGACTCATTAGAACAGTGATGACAATGTAACATCATTTGTGCATCTTATCCCTTTCCAAGACAATCCCCGTGAAGAAAAGTTCCAGAACAAAAAACATTTCAACAAAGTTCCTATTTTATGAAACTGTAATCTGTTTCAAATAGCAAAATAACGAAAGTAGCAGCATGGGATCATAATGTGAAGAATGCTGATCTGAAAGTATTTTTAATCTGAAGACTGGACTAAAATTTAGCCTATGTGTCAAAAGGGTCTCCTTAAACTAAGTTCCACTAAAATGTCCTTCAGACTTTAATAATTACGTTGAAATGTTTACATGGTATAGTCCATTGTATCAGCTTAAACGGATGTAAGATTCCAACTGAATTATAAATGTTCATGAATTACACAAGCTAGTTATTTTGTCTGTCTGAGAAAATTCTGCAAATGCCTCAAAATTTGACGTGTAATGTGAAATAATTGGTATACATTAGATGAGAAGCACGGCGGTCAGTCCAAAGATCCATACCAAGAAATCAATTGATGTTTTCTTGGCACTGGATTCGTCAGATGGCTTGTCCATGTCCACCTGTATGTAGCGATCGTCACACTTCAGGTCACTACAGGCTTCCAGAGACTCAATCTTAACAATGTCATCCAGGTACCCCGATTCTGCAGCAGTTGTAAGCTTTCTAACCGTCCCTTCCAAGTTGGTTGGTTGTGAGGTGTCAGTAGCTTGGGCCATCCCTAGAGCCACTTTATCTCCGAGAAGTAAGATCAACTGAGTTGAATCAGAAGAGCGCCATGCCTTGGCTGAGACCTCAGTGTAAGCATACCAGTCCAGAGTGTTGCTGTCCCATTCCAGTAACTTGGCAATCTTGTCTGCGACCCCTTGCGCGAAGCTGTCCAGTTCATCAGTCACAGATGTGTCTGGATCAGGTGCAACACTGAGTGTCACGACAGCAGAGTAGCTGCGCATGTCGCTCTGAGGCAGCTTGGATTCAAGTTGGCGGGAACAACCCTTTATGGCAGTTTCCAGGAACCCCTTGATGGATTTGTACATCTCTGAGACAAAGGCCCCTTTGATGGTCCAGAATACCCTCCACCAGTCTAGGGCTCCAAGGGAGCAAATGGACGGTGCTCCTGGGGCTGGGGACAGGTAACATCCGGTGTGGGATGCAAACGCTGCTGTCTGTATCTCCTGACAGCTGAGAGATTCCCACGGACGGAGGACGTACACCAGCTTCACTTGCAGACACCTACGAACAGCGTCTATCCAGTCTTGGGCCCGACTACTAAACGTGTGGTAGGTCTTGTCGTAGGCCTTGCAAAAGCGCTCACCAAACGACAGGGCATAGTCGTATTTCGAGTCATCACACGGTTGCTTCATGTTCAGGCATTCACGGTACCAGCTGCACGTCTTCCCGGGAGGGTTGAAACACCAGCTGGGAAGAGGGGGATGGGGAGGAAACGTCGCTTGCTTGGAACAGGTACACCTAGCTGATTGGTCTTCGACTGAACAGGGGCGCCAGCAGTATGCATCCCCGTCAGGACATCGGTCAGACCCGCCTGTTAGTATCTGCAGGCTCTCGTCATTCATACACACATACCATTGATAATTTGCAGCTGATGAAGACTGGTTAAAACATACAAATCCATCGCCAGGCCCTGTGACTGGATCACAGCCGTTACCTTCACATCCTGCAAAGACACAGTACAAGATGATCGAGAGAAATACAGACCACATTTTTCTTTCCATACTGAGCAGTTTTACTAGCTGCACGAAAGAATTTTCCTTTTGTCATGCATTTAAAACTTGTTCTAGCACTCATTGTTTTTTTTTTGCAAAAAACTCCAAAGTCCGCCGGCCTTGCAGATAGTGAGGGCTTTTTAACAACTCCAAGTCACGAGGAATCATAAAATAGAACTTTGTCAATAATGCAAGTGTCGGCTACTACAGTTTTTTTTTAGTCCGTATGGTATAAGTCGTGGCATATGTTCTGGCCAGCCTATCTAGGGGTCGTCGTTCAAAAGTTATCTGATTTTTATTGGCTGATAAAGGAAGAAATGAAAAAAATAACTGGATTACTTATTGAAATATTATCTCAACAAAAAAATATGACTTTGAGAAAAACGACAAGTGTTTGATATACACATGTAGCATCAAAGCGCTTCACAGTCTTTTATTTAAAATTAGTAAAGAACACACAAATAAAGGTGTAGGCCTATATTTTTTTATGCAGTATATAATACAACCAGATTGCTGAAAAAAAGGCTTTGTTTCGAAAAAGTAGCAGAATACAAGGCCTACAACACGTTCAGGAATATTTTGCAAAATGGGAACTTTATTGCTGAAGGGAATGCCAACGAGCAAACTATCGATGGAATGTTATTTTGGCTATGCATTTAAGCAGTGGCATCTAGGCCACCTGCAAACATTTTCTGACCGCATCAATCTAGTCTACTGCATGCTGGCTGATGGCCAACATTTCCAAATTGTCCTTGAACAGATTGCAGTAAAGCATAATCAGTTTACTAGTGCACCAACTAACCCTGGTGTTGGAGTTTGACTGGATGGGGATTTTTAGGGTTAATCCATACATGGTAACGTTTCAGTGGAACTTTACTTCAAAATGTCATGAATGTGGTGGGTATTTGGAATAATGATGGTGTTTTTCTAAGTGCCATGCATTAATTTAGAGAGACAATGAAAGTGTTGCTCTTTCTTTTTGCAATTGGCCTGTCCTCAACAAAAATATCAATTCAGAAGGGTTTGTTTTATTTCTTTGACGTCTGACATTTATGTATATTGCAAGTTCATCATTTGTTGCTCAGTTAATACATTGGTTGTGTTGCATGGCAGAGGAAGAGAAATGAAGCTTTATTTCAAATTATGAATGTGATGGGTTAGTGCCTGATTGATAGCCTTACAAATCTATATTTTATAAGTAAGATGTGTTGTTATTAAGAACAATACAGTCAGTGCATTTACATATTAACATGTTAGGCGAGTGTTCATGAATTTGCCAGTTTTACTTGAACTTGGTTTTTACTTGATATCAAATCAGAGTTGTGGTTGAAATCACCTTTAGGCACTCAAACTTTCCTAGGACATTCGTGTCAATCTCAAAGGGGAGCGGATCTTGCTCATCTATATAAGAAATTTACAGAGGAAGGTGTTTTTTGGGGGCCCTTGTAGTATCAGAGAAAGAGTAGAACATACAAATAAATCGTCAGGCCCTCTGACTGGATCACAGCCATTACCCCCGTACCTTGCTCAAGATGATCGAAAGAAATACATGTACAGAACACATTTTTTTCGGCCCAAACTGCAGTCCTAGCTGCACGAAGAGTTTTTCCTTTAGACATGGATTTTATACTTTTTCAAGCACTCATTGTAACAAAATTTCCTTGGGCATATTGTGTCAATCTCTAAAGTGGACCCTTTTGTAGACGATCTTGCTCATCTAAAGATATTTACAAAGGAAGTTTTTTTTTTCCATGTAGCACCAAAGACAGATGCAAGCGGAGCTGGCTAAACCCCCTGTTTCTCGCGAGCCACGCCCAGCCAAGCCAGCGGGCTGCGAGCAGCCTAAGCCTCCTGGAATGCCTGCGGACGTCCAGGCGGTTGGAGAGGCATCTAAGCCCCAAGAAGAGGAGGCTATGGAGGAGGGGAAGAGCGACGAAGCAACCAAAGAGAAAACGGAGGAGAGGCCGGGGGGAGGGGAGGATCAGAAGATGGAAGATGTAAAGACGCAGGAATAGAATATCTAGTGTATTGGGGGAGAGAACTGAATTGGATATGTACTTTTCCTGCATTGAACAGGGAGCTTTGAAATGTTTCAGAGTCCTGTTGATTTAATAGAGTCCTGCTGATTTAATAGTCTGGCCAGTTCACATTCACATTTCTATGCGTTTATCTTGTTACCAAACACTAAATTGTCTAGTCATACAGACTCCAAGGTCTGCATACAGACTCCCAGGTTTGCATTTACCCAGTTATGCGAATGGTTGATTTAACGTTAGTCCAGGCCATAATGTTATACTTTATTTTAGTCTTCAATTGGCACAAAAAACTCCTTCACAGAACTCGGTTAATGCCCTTAAATGGATAAGTCTAGTCGAGAACAAATATATTTGCAAAAATATATAGGATGTTACTCACACCGTAGCTACTATACGATGTACCATATTCCCGTAAAATCTTGCAGGTTCTTGATGTCAATGTGCTGGCTCTATTGCACGTAATGTTGTAGCCACCACCTTTGGCCCATACGGTAAGCAATGGATAGTCACGATGTGAGCTCTGCATTTACAGGATTTCCGTAAATTTTCTAACATTGTTGTGCCATACATGTATCACTGCTTTTAATGTGGACCTCCAGTTATTTCATTCTTATTTTAACTAGGTAGCCCATTCAGTGGAATCCACTGGTCTCCAGGGCCCACAGGGCCCAGTGATTTGATTAAGAGAAGACAGTGTGAAGAAATTACAGTATTAGACGTGGGAGGAAAAACCCAGTAGAATATTATGACAAAAAAAAACACGGAATCAGGCAGGGACTGAAAACCCTCAGTTTTGTTATATACCTCAGTTCTGTCTGTCAAAACTTTTTTCTTCTTCAAATGTTGCAGTCTTTTTTGCTGAGTTGTGTTTGTATCCAGTGAAGACACTGGTAGTAGAGGATACACACTTAAAATGTACAGTGTAACATTTCACCTGCGTAGAATTAAAGTAGTAGTCATACAGTGTTGGAGAAAGGGTTAAAAATTGTCCATCGGCGTTATGTGACCATTAAACGCTCTTTTGTTTTTATACAAGATTGGATGTAAATAGTCAATACAATGTGGTAATTCTGTCTTTTATTTGTTGGTCTGTTCTAAAATTAACTCTGATTACCGCAGTAGAAGCTGCCGTCTTGCGATCTGTCAAAAAGGAAACAAAAGAAACGAAAAGTACAGGTTACTGCATGAATAGGTATATACATGTACATACATGTCTTTACTTGGTGTCAACCGCATTCTGTGTTTGTAAAGCTCCCAAGCTGAGGCAACATGGTCAGGCCATTTGAAATTTGGTTCATTGAATCACGGAGGAACGTTGCACATTTGGCTCAAATTCAACTTGTTGACCAATTCCTATACCGATTATGACATTAGAATTACAGTATAGCGCCGTGGCGTCGAAAACGGGTGAACATTTGTATTTGGTTTGTACGGGAATGGGTCATGGGTACATTGATGTGAAAGGATCTTTCTCGGCCACATACACTGTAGGTGTGCTTAAATGGCAACCTTCTGCGCTTGCTTCTTATGGTTGAAATCTACCTACATAATGCTGATCGACTATAGTTGGACTAGCACTACCTCTGTCGAATATATTTGGGACAGCCAATACCGAGCTAGGACGGGCGCTTTGCTGATTACAATAGCCTTGTGCATCACAATGTACAGTTCTAGCAGGGTCGGGTCGCCGGGAGCCAGGAGCAAAACGTTTCGTGATATTGAATTTGGACCATCAGTTGGTTAAAGACTTTCGCGCGTTCCTGTTGATACGCAGGCGTGAATGTCGTCACAAATCAGCCACTAGTCGACCAAGTGTGCTCTATCGAACTTGCTCTAAATTAGCTGAGTGAATCGGTGCCTACGTCTTCACTTTCCTGCAGTATTCAACGAAGTGTACCTTAGTTACGGCCGAGAGGTTTTAATGTGATTGCATTTGCATTGTTTTTTTTTTACCGTGCTGTCAACTACGGGATGTACAGCATGAGATTGGGAGATTCTGGGCCAGGATTCTTGACTACGTCAGGTGTGGCGTCCTTCAGAATCTTAGCCTTCACTTCAGCCGCTTCCAACGTTGGATCGTTGCTGCGGGCTATCACTGCAGCTCCTGAATGGGAAACAGTTGACGAATTGAACATTAATTTTGACAAACCACATTCTAATGTATTTGCCGCCGGGACTGGATTTCGCTTGTATCACCAAACGCGCTATCTCTCGGCCCTGGTGACCTCTCACTCCCTTTGAGGTTTCACGGGACAGGATCGGCCAAAAAAAAAAGATTCTAAAACTGCACTATTATTCTTGTTCTCGGATGTGACGTGCAACGTCTAGGGGCTGTACTAATAGAGTTGAGTTGGCCTATATGTTTTGCTTATGCAGTTTGGAATTCAGAGATCCGATCGCTAATGGTTTATTTCTAGGGGGTTGAAAACCCACCCAATGGTAAGGGGTATAAGTACTTTGATGGCCTACCACTGACGTGTGGACAGGACATGGAGGTTCCACTGATGGTGTTGACTGCGAAGTCTCCACCCATCCACAAGCTGGGGAAGTCCACGCCGGGAGCAAACAGGTCAACGCACTTCCCGTAATTGGAGAAGGACGCCCTCTGGTCCTCAATATCAGTGGCGCCCACCGTTATCGCCTAATGATCAGATCGAGTGAAGCCATGAGTCAGAAGAAAATTCGTGTTTCTTCTTCACTGACAATTTTAAAGCTGAAGCGAGGAATGCTGGATGTCTTGGAAAGTATGTGCGCGCGAATTCGCCAAAAATGAACGTTTCGCATCGAATCTCGCTGCGCACGTTTAGTGATAGGCCCTATAAGCATATACAAAACGATTTGCATTCGCATGCACCCGGAGTACATATTTAATAATTTATTTTGCCATCATAAGCCAAACGCTCCATCTCCATGCCACTAGTTCACTAGGCGGCATACAAACAAGGTAAGAGCAGTACATGTATATTACAATCATGAGAGTAACGGTAACTGGTTAAGACACAACTACATTGTATACAGAAAATACAGTTTACTACCTCGTGAGGAGTGTGGCCTAGTGGTTAGGGACTCATGATTAGAGGGTCAGGGGTTCCAATCCAGCTGCTGGTCATGCGTTGTGTCCTTGGGCGAGCCACCTCACCCCACTAGTTGCCTCTCTCCACCCAGGAGTATAACACTAATGGGTACCGGCATTAGCTGGGAAGTAACCTGCAATGGACTAGCATCCCATCCAGGTGGAGTAGAAGTATTCTCTGTTGTTTCATACTACTGAAGCCGGAGATGTGCCACATTGGATCCTGACAGACTTGACTTTTACCTATGCTTTTACTTAATACCGCGCGCCTCTCCATCCGTTGGGTCCAACACGGGACGGCCTTTGGTACACCTTTCAAACAGTCAAGAAATTGAGAATGAGCAAGAGCCTTATTTTTCTACTCCACACTGCACTCGTTTTGATCATCTTTGATTTGACATGTACGTGTAATGTGCTGTTATAAGACATTTGTAGTGACGTCACTAATTGCTCATCACGTGCACAGAGTATTTCAAATATCCGAAACAGCTTGTGTTTGTCCACAAACACATTTCTAGTTTACGTTTGTAGTCGTCATCGGTTTTTGAATTCCTGCTTTGTATTGCTTTCGTCGTGTTTTGTTATAATGTTTTTTTTTCTCTGTTGTCATTGTTGTCTGTAAGGACTGTTTCTTACAAGCCTCGGCTTACTTCAGCAGCTCCATACTCCTTATTTTCTCTTGTACATAAATCAAAGTAAGTTTATCATTTGTTCAAAGCGTATTTTACTTTTCTTATTTTGATTGAGACATATTTATTGATTTTGTTATCTTGCTATGTACCAGATTTCTTTTATTTATGGATGTATTTCTCTAAAGGAGTATGGAATAAATTCTTCTTGAATTGAATTGAATATGCTGTGTTCACAATCAGAGGACTCCAGTTCACCAATTTTTAAAGGAGGGTCACTCACAGTTTCAACTTGCAAAACTTTCAAATTCTCTTCAAACACAGGGATGTACGCCACCTGCAATTGTCTGATTTCAGGCTTTCTCAAAATTGTACATTTGGCACGTACGGTACGTACCATACATGTGTACGTACTTTTCCTTCATACCTGAAATTTTAGGCAAAAATATCAGAGTTGACGTACATCCCAGCAATCACTCCTTTACCTCTACTCTCAATGAACCACCCCACTCCCTAAAAACATTTTTACATTAAATATACCATGAAATAACTGACAATATTGATAGGATTCAAACTAGCAGTTTACTGTTGTCCTGGCAAGATAGTAAACCCTGCTCCACAAGATACTTAACCCTGCAATGTGAGGACTGCAGAAAAAAAAAACTGGTTGGTTCACATGTCAAATCCTGTCGTTTTCTCATTGTCCTGTGAATCTTGTCCATGTGAGGAGTCCTACATGCAGAGTTTAGTTTCAAGGCTAAACAAATTTTGATCACAAGATACCTTACACAGCACTTCATACTCTCAAATCATTTTTCCCCTGTCAGGTCGAGGAACCTCGGTACGATTCTCCCTTGGTCATAGAGGACATGCCGCACATGGCACAGTTTGTTTACGACTTCTACCAGGACAAGATACAGAGGCCGCAGGCATCGCGAGGGGTAAGTACTCCCCAGATTGTTTTCCCAAAGCTGCATGAGTTTTATTGTCAACCCTAACCTTCCTAAATCCTGCAAAATCCTCCTTGCATAATTGCAGGATTTTGCAGGATTGAGGCTATATGGCAAAAATGTGTGGCTGAGTTTGGAGAATGCACTGTGTCAAGGTCTTGGGCTGGACCTTGTGTTGTTTATGCCCAGCCGTGTATAAATTTAGGCCTGGATTATACTTGAAATCCTCCACACTGCTCCAGGATGTCGCTGGCTCTGCCTCAACTTATTGACAGTGATTGCTGGGTGATTTTGCAGGATTGAGGCAATGATCACCCCTCCAATGAACACGTTCCAGAAATAACGGATGATGTTGGAGGATTGAGGCTGTATGCAATTTGGACAGAGAGGCAGTTGAAGGATTTTGCAGGATTGAGGTTGCATCCTAGAAAAAATGCCTAGAGAGTTAGGGTTAAAGGTACTGTAACGGCGGTGCCGGGCCGCCGGCAGAGGGCGCCAGCACGGACCCACGGTGCAACCGTAGCGTTGGGACCCCTGCTGCTGGGCCAGGGAGACCCGTTGCCAGACTGCGCCGACTCAGTAGTGTGACTTTTGTATAGCGTCTTTTTTGTTGTGAGTTGTATAAAGAGAGAGTCTCGTGTAAAGAAAGTGGACAGAATAAATGGCCGGAGAGCCCCGAAACCCTGAAAAATAGTGTCTGTGGTTTCCTTCGTCTGGCGTGTGAGAACCCCAGATTCGTTCTACGTTACATTGGTGGCAGCCATGGCATGTCTGACGGAGGAAAAACAGGTAGAATTTAGAGTGTTTTTCGCCATGAATACACCGAGTCGAGTTAGTCTAGCGTCCGACTCGCCACGCGGCGGGTACGCACGTTGGATCAGGGCCTCGCAGAGCGTAAACCAACCTGGTGAGATGGCCAGCAAAGCGTTCGTCACTTTGGATGACTCGGAGTTGGGGCTTTCGGGGAGCCAGCTAGGCCCACATGCTAAATCCCATGGGGAATCGCTCCGCACTATGCACCACGGCGCAACAGACGCTCCGTTCCACTCGGAACACTGCCGAGTTGTGCCTGTTGATAAAGCAGGGCTGGCCGGGCTTGATCGTCCGGAGACACCCCGCATCAACACACGTGCCAGGTCCCGCGAGGGGCCGCCCCGTGCTGTAGACGCTGGCGCAGCAGACGTCTCGTTCCATTTGGAGCGATTCCGAGCTGTGCTGGTTGATGCAGCCGGGGCGGGTTTTCGTCCTGGGGCAACCCACAACCCCTACGGTCATAAAAATAGTGCTAGGCCCCACATGGAAGCACCACTCGGTGCTTACAAATACGACTGGTGCGGCCTCCTATTCGGGGCGCCCCCAGGCTGGATTTGCCCATACACCGGGGGCGGGAAACCGTCCGAGCGTGCCTCAGGCGGCACGACCGGGAGTCGATCTCCCCCAGCAGTACGTTCGTCCCCACTATCGCAGTATAGGGAGTCCTGACCTCCACTCGCGGAGCAGGCTCGCACTGCACGACTCAATGGAGTGGAGCCCGTGGAGTTGCTCCGCGCACAAGTCAATGGACGGGAGCCCGTAGAGTTGCTCCGCACACGAGTCTATGGGACGTAGCCGATGGAGTTGCTCCGCACGGGACGCAATGGAGCAGAGCCGATGGAGTTGCTCCGCACAAGAGTCAATGGAGAGGAGACCCCGGGGTGGGCCCAGAGGAGAACCTAGAGGTGATCCCAGAGGTGATCCCAGAGGTGATCCCAGAGGTGATCCCAGAGGTGATCCAAGCGGAGAACCCAGAGGAGACCCCAGAGGTGACCCCGGAGGAGACCACAGAGGAGATCAGGAGACCCAAGCGGAAACCCCAGCGGAGGCGCCGCCTTGTTCGGGGACGAACAAGGGTCCTCGGAGGGGGCTGTGTAGCTGCGGTGCCGGCCGCCGGCAGAGGGCGCCAGCACGGACCCACGGTGCAGCCGTAGCGTTGGGACCCCTGCTGCTGGGCCAGGGAGACCCGTTGCCAGACTGCGCCGACTCAGTAGTGTGACTTTTGTATACATGTAGCGTCTTTTTTGTTGTGAGTTGTATAAAGTGAGAGCCTCGTGTAAAGAAAGTGGACAGAATAAATGGCCGGAGAGCCCCGAAACCCTGAAGATTAGTGTCTGTGGTTTCCTTCGTCTGGCGTGTGAGAACCCCAGATTCGTTCTACGTTACAGTACTCTGATGATTTTAATGTGAAAATTTGTTAATGAAGCGTATTTTAAGACGCTACATCATATTACCCCTGCTCATCATCAAGTGAATGAATGCAAACCAAAGACCATCTGAGCTCCTTGGGAAGCATACAATTTTCACCACACTTCCTTAAACATCCCGCTCAGGCGTCCCACGTAGTGTTTTCACTTTTTTGGAATTGATTACATGTATATGTGATGTGTTAAGCCCCAAAAAACCACCAAAACAGTAATATTGCCTTTTAAAAAAGTGAGGTTTTAAATAATGTTAAACTATAGATCATTTTTCTCTTTAAAACGGGCAGTTTAATATTTGAAATGAGTCAGATTTGTCAAAATCATGCCCATATTAAAATATGTGGTTTCACAAAGTGAAAACCGATATTTTCCGAAATAAATTTGGCCATTTCCCAAGTGCAACATAGACCCAACGTTAAAATTTTCCTTCGCATTTAAATGTTTAGGAAGTGACCAACAAATCATACTTATAAATCCCCAAAAAATAAATCATTCACACAACTTATTTTTATCATAACTCCTTTTCAAGCAGAAGTATAATTTTATTTGCTTCTTTTATGATGGACTAATTAGAATAGTGATGACAACATATCCTCATTTGTGCATCTTATCCCTTTCCAAGACAATCCCTGTGAGGTGAAGTTCCAGAACAGAAATTGTTTCAACTAAATATCCTCTCTAAGGCCCCCCCAAAAAAGTCTCCGGTTTCTGGTATGCGCGCGCGTCGCCATAGCCATGCGCGTCGGCAAAATGAAAAGGTTTTTTTTTTCAATACAAGATGATGTTTCAAAACCGCCAAACTCACTGGTTTGACTGGAATTCTGCTGCTGCACAATTTTAACGTGTTTTTGGAAGGGGTTATGATCGAGAATAAGATTTATATGGCCTCTCTGGACTCCCATATATTTGCACTAAGTTTAGTCGGGGACCATTTGCAGTCATCAGCCGACATTTGAAGCCAAAAAAAAAAAAAAAAACAGTTAAAAAAAAAAAAAAAGCCGCGTCGCCGCACCACTTTTGGGGCAAGCTCCATACCAGAAACCGGAGACTCTTTTTTTGGCCTAATCAAACAAATCATGTTATGATATCTGAATATGTACTGTTACGTACGGCGAATGCACGGCAGAAAGTAATAATAAAAATGGGAGTCATGAATTTGAAGCAAAGGCAAAAACAGGCCAATATATAATATAATTAATTCTCCCAAATCAATCAACAGTTCAATGCAACTTTAAACGTCATGCAATCTCCAAAGCATTATATACAGGCAAAGCAAAATATATTACCTCTAAATTAGCAAAGCAGCATATTATTTAAACAGGTCAATCAATAGGTCAATTCAACTTTAAACTTCATGCAAATCTCCAAAGCATTATATTCACAAATCCAAAGCAAATTATTCAAACAAATCAATCAACAGGTCAATGCAATTTAAAACTTCATGCAAATCTCCAAAGCATTATATACAGGCAAAGCAAAATATATTACCTAGAAAGTAGCAAATTTTTCCAACAGATACAATACAATAAAGAACAGGCCAGCAAAAAAAAACTTAATAAGCAAAAACAAAAAAAACCAAATTGTATTCGGCCGAATATAATCACCCTTTATAAGGAACCTGTAACAGGAACAGGCCCCGCCCAGCCAGTGCCCACAATGGTAATAGTGCATCCGTCGAGCCAAGCATCTCCACACCCATCAGCCAAGCGATAGGTAGGTCGGCATTGAACCCCGGGAAGTCAGCCACATCAGGCGGGCCACGACAGTCCAGGTCTCCGTCCGGTAGTACCGTCAGCCTTGGCCACGATCCAGCGATGAGGAGTACGTAGATCATTAGAACAATGGGAGATGCTGGCTCAACGGAAATTGCACATTAAACAGGTGTACATGGGCACTGACTGAGACCAAATAAAAGACAGTCAGTACTAATATAGGATATTTACCCGCCCGTTGCCACCACTGATCTCTATATAAAGACTGAATAGCGGATATCCATACACCAGTCACACATTAGAATTTACATTGACCAATTCGCCCCCGGTCTCACGAAGATGGCCGCGTATAATACGAACCTTCTATGCGTATATACAGCGTGCGTTTATAGATATAGAATAAAAAGACTAGATCGGAAGTGCGTGCACACGCGCGGACTTTCATGGAGGGTCACGTGCTGGAGGAAAGATACAAATAATGCGCGAAAACGTGACAAACGCAACGCCGTTTACGCGAACGCCCTAGCGCAGCGCGTAAATACTCGGTGCGCATTTCTAGTTCCGCGCGCGTTGCGCTTGGTCACGTGCTCGAGGAAAGATACATTTAGCTCCATTACTTTACGTTCATTTGTTGCGCGTCCACGAGGGACAACAAAAATGGCGGAGATTTATCGCACAGTGAATAGGCGAGTGTGGACGCGCTGCCGATCTAGTCTTTTTTTTTCTATATCTATGCGTGCGTTGTATCAACAGTTGACGCGCATTTTGGTCACGTACACATATTATGATGTTCTAAAAAGGACACATTTCCGTACTGATTATTATTTCCAAAACGCCGAAATAGTGAACCGCGGCATTAAAAAAGCAAACCACGACGTTGGAAAAATTTTAAACCTTGGTCAGTGGTGGTGGTCAAAATATAAGTTAAGTGAACCGCGATGTTACAAAAGAAATCATGCTGTCTATAAAGACGCAACTTGTCCTTTGTAGATCACCAGCCGGTCTCACCGGTCTCACCAATATGGCGTCAAATTCATTCATT